CATCTCACTGGCGAGCCATTTGACATTTAATGTAGAATCAAATGAGCCTTCTGGCCGTTCCATAAAAAAAGCTGTTTTATAAGAACTTTTGAATTTCATTGTGTTTAGTCTCCGGTTTTATTCAGAAATTTGGTAAAAGCTTAAGTAAGTACTAGAATTACTAGAGCGTCTCTGGTGCTAAATTTTTTTTAAATATTCGCCTGCCAAACTTGCCTTGACATATTGTTTCTCTTAGTAATACCATATTCTAGTGAGACGAAAATATTTAACAAAAATGCTAATTCAATGAGACTCAGTCCGCCATTTCGTTGTTTTTCAAACTAATTAATTTCATACATGACGTAGCCGTATTTATTTATTTAGAAAACCTTACAGTTTACGAAACATAAAACAAATTAATTTTGATATGGAAAGTTTTACAGACTAAACAATAATATTACAGAGAGAATACGTCCAGAATGGTAGTGTATTTGTGTGTGTAACTGAAGCTTATGTGTACAAATGAGCTCGAAGCTAAATAGTTTGAAATAGTTGCATCGGGAATTGTCTATGTCTAGTGTCAAAATTTTTTTCTTTGTCAAGTTCATACTTTGTCAAATTGTAATACCTTTCAAAATTAAATCAGAAATCTTATTAATTAGCGTATCAATCACGATATAAAAATCCTTGGTCTCTTTAGGATTTTTTTAACGACATCCCATAGAAAACTTTTCATCTGGTGCCACTTTATGATTAAAGGTTGGCTGTTAAAAACATAAATTGCCGGGTATCTTGGGCTCAAAAGTCACTCGGCGGATGTGATTCCAGTTCTCTCCCGTACGTTCCGCAACCACGACTTCTTCCTTCTTCCAGCCCGTCTCTTGCCCATCATTAAAAGTTGCAACAAGTCGTATCGATGATGAAAAAAACTTAATATTGTAAATTGCCTTTCTTTACTCCATTAAAAGCATACCCATAACGTTCACTAATTACGGATTAACGGGATCGTAAACCTGATTTATTTGTATGCTCGTCGATTACTCGTGGCTGGATTAAAAGTTTAGGTGATTGATGAAAAGATATAAACCAGAAATCGACTTTACTGTGTACCTATACAATATTCCTGTATAAAAGCCGGTAACAAGTATATAAGAGGTATACACAAGAGGCTGATCACTTATTTGTATATTAGATTGACAATTGATCATGCAACACATACAGAAATGTGGCCCAGACCTAAAAAGGAAGTATCAAAAGTCAAAATCATTTATTCATGTACGTATAGGTAACGCAATGTACAGTTATAAACGTCAAGAAAAATATATGTATATATATGAAATGCTTCTAATTATACATTTACTGCCAGTTCTTAAATCAAGGGCGTAGAACGGAAGAGAAGAACTGGCAATATCGCCACTAATATATTTTTATTTTACATACATTCTTCAGTAGTGCACTAATTTATTGAAATGATGATCAGATTCTTTATCCACCAAACCGTGACCAATTTCGTTCCAAAGAATCCTGAATTAACCTGATTAACTAAGATTGATTGATCGATTTCATCTTACAGAGTTATAAATTATATTTAGCACTGAAAATAGCTTTAAATACTCCAACAAAGTAATAGTTTCAGCTAAGTTGTTATGTCCAGTGGGTGTAGCCGCCGGAACACGGTTTATAGTCGACTCTAATCGTGGAAAAGCAGGTAGGATCGGTACAAAAATAGACGCGTTTCCGTTGGCGGATGGAACAAGTTATTTTATCTAGCGATTTTATGCAGCTGGTATATGCGCTATCCATTTTACAGTAATAGTTCTTGTAGACCAGGGCAAACGGGCAAGTGGGTCACTTGCGAGCCTTCTGGCAACATGAGTGTCCATGGGTGGCGGTATCACTTAACATCAGGTGAGCCTCCTTCCAGTATATAACATGATGTTCAGTGATTTTTCGGGCAACAGCCTTACATATACACACGAGAGCGTTATCCGACGTTATAAGAGATGGTACACTATTTTTTAGTACGAATTTAGTAAGCTATCTTAACCACTTTTTATTTTACGGCAAATGTAGTTACTTTATTACAGTAAGAACGCAAATGTCTACCAGAATAATCAGTACCATGCGCTACCATTGTTGTAAACGCTAAAACAAACGTTTTACGCGTAACAAACGTCGAGTGCTTTTTTCCTTGTCGAATTCATGGTACAGCTACACAGTTCACGTGATAGATCGCTTATCTCTTTCGCCTATGAAACAGTCACTAGCTTAAGCCATCTGGCAAAGACTACGCCCAGTATAAGGTGCGGCCTGCATACACTGTTACTAATGGATTGCTTTTCATGCCCTTTATTATCGTCACAGATTATAAATACCCGCTACATTACAGCGATGGACTACAATGTCATTTTATGTAGTTATGTAAGACATATAGTTACCTATTTCTTCATTATATATACAATTGGGATCAAGGCGAATATTTTTCGCACTTCTAAAATACACAGGTATAAAATATATCCCCGTAAGACCCATTGGATAGGGATGCTTTTCTGCCACGCTTTTCTTTATCTACTGGACAGTTTTCTTGGGAATTAAACCAAAATTATCCTTAGAAGGTTAGTTCTATATAGAATGTTGGTTTTATATAGAATCTTGCAAAATGTGTTTTGAATTAAAATACATCAAAAATAAATCAATCAAATTACAGCTTAGAGCAGTCTTTCCCAATATTTTTTGTGCTATGTAACAAAAGTAATTTTTAATATTGATTAATTGAATTGTCCACTTAAGAAACTTTCAGATAGGTTTTAGGAAGAAATTTCTAGGAAATTGTTATAACACAGTAAGTAAATTTTCAAATCATATAATGAAAAATTCCAAATAATATAATTTTTTTTTCGAATATCTTAATTAAAATGCCCCCCTCCCCCTTGGGCACACGTTGGGAAACTGGCTTAGAGTGTAAAGGCCAGATTCTGTAACGAGACATAGATCGCTCAAATAACTCCCCCGTATAAAATAACGTTTCTGAAACTTCCCTTAGCTAGTATTCAGTCAGTTGATATATATTATAGCTGAAATGGCTATAATGTCATAGTTTCACAATATGTTACAGTTGAAATGGGATGAGGATTATAAGAAGCATGGCTGCGGTAAAAAGTTTTTAAATGTGATAAAGATTAGTATAGAATAATAGAAATAATAATTTATTTGCAAGAATATAGTTCAAAAATGTATGGTGGTACAATCTAAAGTTCGCATATTCTGGCACACATAATGGCGTGCAAATTTGTCTAAAAAGGAATTTTAGTGGCGTATTGCGGTTTGATTTTTTTTAAACCTTAATTTATTAGAGACATTTATATAAACTTGGTTTTCATTTCAACTTATTCTTTATAAACTGCCTTGCGATTCTGTAACTCACTTTTCGAACTCACACAGCGGTTTTCACAGCGGCGGTCGCGCTCAAATCAGTCGTAAAGCAGTCATTTTACGATTTGTTGAGTTCGAAAAGTGAGTTACAGAATCGCAAGGCTGTACTTAATCTTTATTGTATCTAGTTATCCTATGTGTTAGTAAATATATTTTTTGTGGTATAACTTTCATTACAAACAATTATTTGTTTCACCGGGAATCGAAGAACATCCAAGGATCACGTTGCCATTCTGATATTACATGTAATACTCTTAAGTGGGTTAGAAAGTGAATCATCCAAGCTCCATATATAGGTCAGAATCTATTTTAAATCCATCGTAAGTTTCAACTATAATGGTACCAGTTGGTGCCGGGAACTGATAAGGTAGTGTTACATTCGCTAGAATTTGAATCGTTTTTGAGGTGATACACGGATTGATATATAAAAACATGTTATTCACGTTATCTTTAAAATATTATTTAAGGATATAGAGGCGTACTTAGTTAAGTCTGTCTAACGTCAAAATTGACATTCGAGAGTCATAGCCCTGAAAAGAGTAAAGTCTCGTTTATGAATAAACGAGTTATCTAATATATATTATAGATTTACTAGCTGACCCGGAAAACGTTTGAGATATACACATGAATGAGGGTAGACATATATCTCTATCTCTTTCTTACATATCTGTTGCACGTGGATACAGGTATATAATGGATGACAAGCCTTTTGGTATACCAGCTTATCTCCGATAGCAGATACACTCCGAAGAGATTATATCCCCAAGCAGGCGCTTAATTGAAACCCGCAAATGCGGAAGCCGTCCCGGCATCGTGCAGTGGGGCAAAGAGAGCCGGAACTTGGGGCATGGTGAAATACTAGGCACAAGATAGAACGCGATGGAGACTGAGTGTGGACGCCCTCTGCCCCATCTAGGCGTTATAGGACATTAAGTCATTATCTTATCTAAAATCGTAAAAATGTATGCACACCGCTTATTAATCGGCACTCGAAATCAAATTATCTACAAATCAAAACCGTTGCCTAGCAACGTAATAACAATTTGGGAATATCTCGCCAAACTCGTAGTGGTACATCCAAAGTAGAAGAGACAGCACGTTCCAAATTCAAAATGGTTCTATGAAATTGAATAACGCACTTTGTTAAAAGTGAAAAGCGATCGATATTCGACCTTAACATTCGAAATGGTGCAATGTATTGATTGTTAAGAAGTAGGGCAGGTAAGTTTTAGATTTTCTAAGGACAGCTAATGTCTTTCTCGCTCGAATGTAATTGATAAATAAGGGATAGAAGATATCTTTGAAATATAATTTGATGATATTCCCGTACCAGAAACTTGTTTACATTTTTAAATTATATAGAAAGTCTTTGACTAAAATAATTTGACACAATTTAAATTTTGTCAAATTATTTTACGAGTAGTTAGTTATGTGTGAGTTAATTTTTTATCGAATAAGCATTTGATAAATGTATATAATACTACTGTTTAACTTTGATTAAAATAATTTTACGATACAATTTAATGCTTTTGAAACTCTCATAATTTTAGAACTAAAAATTTTGTTTGTGTTTTTTCAGCTAAAACAAAATGGATGACCGCACAGTTGATCTCATATTCGCGGGCTCCTTGAAGTCCCTGCCTCCAGTCAGCTCCAAGATCGTAAGGATTTTCACCAGCTCAACTTTCACAGGTATTTTTAATAACAGCCCTGCGATTCTGTAACTCACTTTTCGAACTCACACAGCGGTTTTCGCATCGGCGGTCGCTCTCAAATCAGTCGTGAAGCAGTCATTTTATGATTTGGCATTCTGATAAACAATAAACTACAAGCTTCCACCTTTTCAGAATGCCAAATCATAAAATGACTGCTTCACGACTGATTTGACAGCGACCACCGATGCGAAAACCGCTGTGTGAGTTCGAAAAGTGAGTTACAGAATCGCAGGGCTGATAATACTGTTAAATAACCTTATTTACCTTAGACATATTTTTGCGCCTAAATTATTCTATTATATGGAGACAATTGTGATATCCCGGCACAAAATGTAATATGCATACCTTCAAGCGATACATTTTACTGTCGTATTTCTAGGAAAATATCTAAACGTTACAGTTAGTTATGGGAGCTCATTTTCGTAGTTTTCTCATTGTAAAACAATGTATTTATTAATTTATTTCGTATTCTTACTATAACTTAAATATAAACTTTAAAAATTAACCGTCTTACGAAAAATATAGCCACAGATGGAAAACATAATAAATACAAAAGGTTCAAACATTTCAGAAAATTAAAAAAAAAATTAATTCATTGTCGTTGGTTAAACAGTGTTATTATATTTTTATTAACGTTCTTCAACAAAATTGTTCTTTAATCTATAAGATAATTTTTGGATATGTAAGATTATTTTTCCGACCCAAATATCGGCCAATAGAATTGCACCATTCGACGTCACGTGGTACAACCTACATGGTATTATACTGAAAATTTTTTGTGAAAATTTTCTCTGGTCGTTGCTTCAAGAAAAGTATTAAGTAGTTGTTTTATTCATTATGAAATTCTTATTTGTTAACTGTACATTTCGTCTCATGGTGCAATTCTATTGGCCGACATTTGGGTCGGAAAAATAATCCCCCGAATACCACGCGAGCTTCAAAATTATCTGTCTTGTGGTATTACATATGACAATTATTAAGATTGGTCGAACCAGATTATAAAGAATACCAAGTGTTTTCGGTTTTTCAGACGTTTAGAAATATATTGATTATATACTAGCTGACCCGGCAAACGTTGTTTTGACATGTATATTTTTTTCTAGGAAACATTGTTTTACTTCAACAAAAATAACTATCTATACAAAACAATAGGAGTTGACCGTAGAGGGGTGAAAATTAAGGGTTGTATGTATTTTTGTATGCTGTATCATAAAAAATAAAAATTTAGGTGGACCACCCTTAACATTTAGGGGTTTGAAAGATAGATAGTAGCCGATTCTCAGACTTACTGAATATGCATTAAAAATCCATAAGAATAGGTCGAGCCGATTCGGAGGAGTATGGAAACGAACATTGTGACACGAGAATTTTATATTTGATATTGTTTTGATTGTGTTTTTGTAAGTAATTAAAATAAATTTTATTAGATTTTTTATACATCGAAAAGTTTTAGTGTTTTTGTTACAAGCTGTGTTCCGAGATTACACCCGCACGTCGTAGCACGATGTTCTATAGACTTAAGCTTTTCTCGTCTTTTAAATCGAAAAAGAATGGTTTTTGTTTGGCATATGGTATCGCGGACTACTGTAGATATTGATGTATTCTATATAACTGTAGTACATCACTTTGCTCTTTGTCAATAGTTTCCGCAGATTTAGAATTTTTTATTGGTCTTTTTCACACCTTGGGTTGTTCACATCATTACGATAGTGTAGGATATACGATAACTTTAGGGATAACGTAGGGTTCTAAAGGTGAATTTATCAAGTCAGTCTTGTAGTTTCTCAGATCTCATGTAATAAAAATACATTGTTTTTGTAATGAGAAACAAAGTTCTTTAAACATTAAAATATATATATGGCGAACTCTTTAACAGTAGCGCCATATATTTAATACGCTTTTTAAAACGGTTGCTAAAAGCAATATCATTCGAGTGCGTCACGAACAAGCTTTAATTATTTTAGATTATCTCTGATAGCGCAAAATTTATCGCGAAAATTTCATTTTCAGTGCAGCGTAATGAGAAATTGAGTGTTCTTTAAAATTATCGGAAATTGGGACATTGTCATACACAGTACTTGATATAATATTATACTTATGTATAGAGCAGTGATGGCCTAGTGTTGATGATGATCCAGAAATCTGAGGTCGAGACCTAAAAATGGTTGTAGCGCCATTTGTATATTTTATTTTGAAATATAAAAGTAAATAATAATGGTAGGTCACCAATATAACAACACAATTTGAATACTTTTGATTTATTATAATTACGAGCGTATTGAAGTAGTCATTAACTGTCCGAAAATTAATACTTATAATCGTATAGATTATTTAAAATGACGATCGTGCCCTAGCAACAGAGCCAAACAAATAGCCGATGAATCGTTAGTAAATGGGGACAAAACTTGACACCGCTGATCGAGCCAAGCCTCGCCAAATGGGTTAAGATTTACGCCAACTTTGTGGTGGGTTTAATAAAGTTCTTTTGATTTCTTGGTTCTAGACTTACTTAATGCTATCACTCCTCTTTTACTGTGCAAAGTATCCTGCTATGGAATTGATATCAGATATTGATATCAGACGAGCTCAGTCTTTAAATATATTTTAAAATCCTCTTTTTGATCATTTTTCATCTGCCTCGTAATTAGCTACTACTTATATATATTAATTGTGACTCAATTAACCCTTGGATTAGCTTTTACATTTCTGTTTATACATTATTGATGATTTATTTATTTTTCTTTTTTTCTTTAGATTTTACTTTATTTTAGTTGTAGGTAGTAGTACGTTAGTTTTTGTTAATTATTTATGCACTTCTTGTACTTTACCCTCTGTAGGTATTTCTTTTTATATTGTTCCAGATTAGGGTTGCCTGGAAGAAATCGCTTGTTAGCGATAAGGCCGCCCTGATAACTTATATAACCTGCCTTTTTATATATATATGTTTTTGTATAAGGTAACGGAGTGTAAATTAATAAAATAAATAAATACAGTGGTGCTACCTATATCTTCTCTAGTCTTTGTTGCTTTCTCTTCGTTACACAAGTTTATTTAGACATGGGCGAAAAGGTGGTAATAAAAAATTTGAAATTTGCTAGGCAACCCATATGGATTATATTTATTGACATATTAAATTAAATATAAAATACGTTTAATTAAATAAGCATCTCGGTGAAGGTCATTGTATATCGGGATCTTAGACCATGGTGGAAATTGTGCCTGAATACGTGGCCGATTTTCGGTTTTGTAAATCATGATTTTTATACGGTATTAACCGGACGAGCTAGTCAAAGAAAAACATTAAAAATATGCACATTTTCTTTGTGTAGTCGTGATTTCAACGCGAGGTATTTCCTTAGTTAGTTATATTCAAAAGACTACAACACTGCTCTCACTAAAATATCTAGTTAGTCTACAAAGTTACAGGACTTCGTTTAATCTAAGCGCATGTGTAAGTTTGTATATGTGTGTACCTCCAGATTTCACCTTTAATTTACTAAGCTTCAATTTCGGACTACACTGTCATATACTGTCAAGCCTTAATAAAGCACAGTAATACGCTAACCAGTACTTCCAAATTTATACATTTTTACCTTTCAACATTCATAATAATGTTTCCATTTACCCTTCGCTCGGATTCGGACTGCCTGTACTAAAATCGATTAACTATACGATACCTACTTTGAACTTCTAGAGAAAACTCTAGTCAATCATTTTCCGAACTAAAAACCTTTATCTATGTCATCGGCAATTACCAGCTAACATCTCCTCCATAAAACAGTTGACGGCCTTGTAAGCCAATCTGTAGCCACGATTATACATATATTACAAATGAATTACTGTTTGTACTGTGGTGATAAAACAATATCACCTGCTATATGTTATCTGTTGGAACCGTCAGCCGCATAACAGCTGCATTCGGCGCATGCAGTCAAATAACAATTAAAGCTCCTCGCAGATATAATATTTACTATGTGATAATCCATATAGCTATTGTAGCTAGAGTTCCAAATTTAAAATTCCTCTGGTAGTAAGTACAGTGTTGGCACAGTGGTGCGCATACCTATGTGTCTTTCTTTATTTTTGGGGCCTATTTATCTATTTAAAAAAAACAGTAGTTATATTAGGCACTGAATTGTTGTAATCGTTTTTCTTAATCTAGCGATGTATAGTTATCAAATAGGTCAAAAATAACTTTTCTAAATTATTTTGTCCTGTTTGCGGAATGCTTTGAAAAATGAATCAGAACACAACGGTTATGTAAGAGCTTTTTAATTTGTGGCTTTTACGCTTCGGGCATTTTCCAGCGGTTTATTATTTAGGATAAATGTCTCAATATTTAGGTTTGTTCAACTTTAGCGAGGAGATTTCAAAAGATTATTTCTCCACACTTTTGTGAACTATGCAAAGTGCCTTCAGCTTGCGACTGTTTTCACTGTAGTGGTAGGTTCGATCCCCGGCTGTGTACCAATGGACTTTCTTTCTTTGTTCGTATTTAAAATTCGCTTGAACGGTGAAGGAAAACATGATGTTTATACTTAAAATCTCGAACACAGCTGTAAACTTAGTAAATGACTCAAGGGATCATATAAATAGCCCTTTAGACGGATTGTGTATAGTCTATGCTTTTCTAGAGTATAATAACAACAAAATATCTCCATAACCTGATTGTATAAACTTTGGCGTTTGTGACTTTCCAGTTACATTTAATGTGCAGCAATATAAAAATTAAGTAAATATTATTTAATATATAAAATTCTCGTGTTCTGTTCGTTCCAATACTCCTCCGAAACGGTTCGACCAATTCTTATGAAATTTTTTATGCATTTTCAGTAAGTCTGAGATTCGGCTACTATCTAACTTCCAAACCCCTTTAAATGTTAAGGGTGGTCCACCCCTAAATTTTTATTTCTCTTTTTTAGATAAAATTTTCACCCCTCTACGATCAACTCATATTTTTTATTTGTTAATTAAAAACTTATGACTTGAACTGTGAGGTTTGAGGAAAAATTCACAGGAAAACCTAAAAAGTTTTCATTCCAGAAAACCGAACTCTGGGGTAGCATAGCAAAATGTTCCATGTTGGTATGTACTAAAAAGGTAGGCTAAGAAAAATCACATTAAGGAGAAACGAAATTCGTTGGGGCAGCTAGTAAATTATAAATATAAATTACCTGAATTGACTTTATACGTTTTCAGATACAACTATGGAACGAAACACGTTGATGGCAAAGTGTTATCCTCGCATCAAAGACTATTGTAGAGAGAAACATGGACTCGAATTTCAGGTAACTTTAGATAATAACTTAAATTTAATATATGGCTGGTAGATAGTCCCGGTGACCCCACAGCTCGTGCTTTCGTGGCTCAAAGAATAAGTATCGCAATAGAGCGATGAAAGTTGGCAGCACTAAAGAAACACTGCCACAGACCAAAATTTTAAATTTGTGTTTAATTTCTATAGCCCTTTCCTATTTTTAACTATTCTTATTACCATATAGGTAAAGAGTGTAAATATTAAATTAGCTCTAAAATGTTATAATCTATTAGGATGTTACTTTAATTTGTCTATGGTTCCATAGACATTTTTTAGGTCAACTATGAGTGAAATTCTTTATTTTTTTAAATAAATTTGTGTGTAAATTAAGCTGTATTTTACGGTTTTAGATCATTACAAAAATCACTTACTTGAGAAAATATACTAACACATATATTACGCTTATTACTACTGTATAATATTAAAAAAGTACAACAGCAGGCAATAAAACAGAAGGCTTGTTATATCAAAATACAGCAATTACAATTTTTTTACCTATAACAACATATTTTACAATGCAATACTGGAACAACCTGCCACCTCCAATCCGCGATATACGTCGTCTTTCAGTATAAAATGCAAAAGTTATTTGAAATGTTAGTCGGCTGGGTTGGGAATTTGTGAGTTGATTTTCCTATTTTTTTTTAAACAATTTTATTTTTCATTTTAATTATTAACATTTTTGTTTATGTTGCTATTTTATTTCTTATATTAATTGTTAACATTTTTGTTTTGTTTAGTGTGTATATAATATGTCACTCCAAGACAGTACGGGCCCACTGAAAATCATTAATCAGTTTTGCTGGTGACAGCAACTTAAAGCTTGACTTGAATTTTAAACGTGACTTTCTTGCAGTAAATGCAATAATTGCATTTGAATTTTTGTTTATACATAGTTTTATTTATTATTATTTTTATTTTTTCTTTATATTTTAGTTTATTTTTTAATAGTTATAGTTGCGTGTTATTTTGTTTTTTTTTTGGTATTTCTTTATTCACTGTACTTTACCCTCTGTTGGTGTTTCTTTTTATTGTTTCTTTTTATTGTTCCTCATTATGGTTGCCTGGAAGAAATCGCTTGTTAGCGATAAGGCCGCCCGTTGCCTTATAACTTATGAAACCTGCTTTTTAATTTTTTTTTGTTATATATGTATGTTTCTGTAAACGGTAATAAGTATAAATAAATAAATAATATTTTACACTAATATTGCTGTATATTACGCATTACGACTATAAGAACATCTTAAACACTGTTATAACCGAAACCAAAAATAACATTGCTTGCTTGCTTGACTACGTTTCTATTAATATAACATTTTACTAAGAATTAATAAAAAAGAAACCATTTTTAACGTCTTCTAGAAGAATTTAAATCCTGGAACGCTAGCGTCAAATAAATATCGGCTTTCCGTGAAATGAATGCGGTTTTAATAAACAGATATCATAAAAATTTATGTCTTCCTCGTCTGCGTCGCTTTAAATCCTTCGATGTTTTAAGGGGTAGCTCTTTTAGTCAATATTACATCTTTCGGATTCAAGCATATTACTTCTTCGTAAAACGCTCCCCCTTGTCAGCATTGGCTTTAAAGTGCATATGAGTATAATAGGAAAAACAAGTGCTAAGGAATAAAAAACAGTGCTTCCGATTCATTTTATATCGTCTGCCCATATCTTTCCCTGTCTTCCTCTTTTCCTTTTTCCATATCGTGGTTAAAGAGAATAGGAAGCACAACTTGTACAAGAAGAGCTAACATTAGAATAATGGAAGCAGCTGGATGAGGCTTAGTGTCACAGGAAATGCTGATCACCAAAACCGGCACATCTTATGTATTAGATTAAGTTTGGTAACGTAACTTGTGTTTATATATATTATACAATAAATAATAATAATAACAAAATTGTGATTGAATATCACTGTCACTGTCAATCGTATTACTCAAATTATTGTCGTATTTTAACACTACAACATAATAAGAGATTCTTTTAATATTAGCTTTTAGTTTTTATTTAGTTTCGTTTTGTCTTTATCTATTTTTTATTTATGCACTTTACTAATTGTAATTATTTTTCCTTACCAGGGTTGCCTGGAAGAGATCGCTTGCTAGCGATAAGGCTGCCCGATGCCTCCTTAATATTTCTATGTATATGTAATGCAGCAATGTGTAGATAAATATAGAAATTAAAATAATACAACTTATTCTGTGTTCGGAAATTTTAGAATTATTACAGGAAAATTTTAAAATACATCTTTCGGTTTTAAGCTTCGCCTTAACAACATGAAGATTTATCCCCGTAATCTCTCAATAATTCTAGGTACATTTTCTTCAAAACGGAAAAGGGACGACAATGAATACAGATACCAGAATTTAATTAATCCCTCAAAATCGCTTTTCAAAACAAAATTCCCTTTGAAACGTCAAATCACTTCAAATGTAGAATCTATGACCAATTTTTTACTTTTTTCAAATGGACGACTGATGTTCGAATCTGTGTGATCAATCTGTCACAGAGAGCTTTTTATCTATACTGTACACATACTATGTGGACATTTTAGGGCTGGCCAAATATTAAATTAGACTTAGGCAAATAAAAAATTTAGATTTAAAAAATTGTGTAAATTTTTTCCTTACGACTGTTTCTGTTTCATAGATAATTTTCTTAAACTAAGTAGAAGAGCAGACTTCTCCGACTACTAACCCGAAACCGAATCTAACACAAGACCTCGGAGTTATACGCCACAGAGCAGAGGCAGGCTAGATAATTTCTATGATAAATAATTATACTGATTATTATTTCATTAGGATTATTTAATACACGATACCTTTTTTAATAAAAACTAAATAACTCTTAATTTCCTATTCAATCATCGCTAGTGTTTTAATATGAACTGTGAATGGTTGTTTAGTATCTATGAATAGAGCCTTATCATTTCATGAATCGCATTTATGAGAATCGACCCTTGTTTGGGGTCATACGTCAGTTGAACAGTAAATTCATCTAGTTAGTAAATATAGTTTTGTACACGTGCTATACTTCCGTTGACAGAAATATACGTAAGCCGATTCGTCAGCTTTGTTTATGAAATGTATCCCGTATGAACATTGAACGCACTTTCATAGAACGAGATGTTTTGGAAACTGGGCACTTATATTTAGGCTAGTTATTCTCTATTATAAATTCGGACCAATGATTTATATTTCTGAGAACTGTATGCATAGTGTCTGAGGACTAAGATGTATCTTCGGTATCGAATTGTGTGCGTAGTTTTTTAATAATTAATGATATTTATAATAAAAGATACATCAAAATATTTTAGGCTTTTAGATTTGGAAATCGAATTAAAAAGTGGGGTTTTTTCTTCTTCTTTGTACTCTACCCGATACTTTTAGAGGATGTAATGCGACAGATATAAAACTTGCAAACAATATTATGCAAAGTGGATAGGACCACTAAATCTTGTTCTAAAAACAAATCTTAACGCTGCTTCAACTAAAGAGCTCCAATATCGGAACTACCACGGTCTATATTTTCAGTTATCTAAGTTTTTAATGGAATACAAAATTACCTTCTTTGCTTGTTATATGGACTTAAGGTAAATCTTATTTATTACCACTTTAACTATGAGAGATTCTATAACATGTTACCTGTATAATAAATTAAATGAAAAAAATAACATTTACCCACTATCTAAATATGAATGTAAAAAAATGGTTACTACTTGGCTGAAGACGTTGAGTTATGATGAAACAGAAGATTTAATAACTATTACTCTGTAACACACCCACTCCCCCCCCCTCCCCACACACATACACGCACACACACACACACAAACACACAGACACACACCAAATTTATTTTTACGACTCCGTTTTCAGAGTATTCTTTTAGCACTTACTTATTTTATTCTATTGTATCTTATGACAATGACCTTATTGTACGTGTTCCGGTCCGGTGGTGGAGAGGCTGGATATCTGTCACTCAGGTCTCCTGTTACAGAGACCAATCTCTCACATACACTTCCTAATGTTATCATCTTAGTTTAATCATAATAACCTTGTATGTATATGTGAGAGAAGAAATAAAGATTATTATTATTATTATCTACCAGGTGGTGGACATGCGTTGGGGTGTTCGTGATGAAGCCACGGATGATCACATGACCACAGAGCTTTGTATGCGAGAGATAAAGAACTGTCAACGATTGTCTATGGGACCTAACTTTGTTGTATTTCTTGGGCAGAAATATGGATACAGGTAAACATTAAATTCAGACAATGCGAATCAATAAAGCTATTGAATATTTTATTTTCTTCCCGAGAAACAAAACCCGCCTTGGTTTGTAATGAATTCAGTGGTTAAAAGATATTCTAAAAAAGAGAATAGTATATACATAATGTATTATTATGGGTTCTTTATGTAAAATTAAACCCTCTTCGCTCCACTTGGGGGACATAAGTCCTTCAGTCAAGTAAATCATGTAAATAAAAGAAATTGGTAAAAGTACATTTATTTTAAAATACTTAATAATAAAAAGAATATTAGTTATTTTTATTATCAAAATCCCTATTGAGTAAACTAAAGTTATAGTTATATTTGATATAATACTAAACTTTAATAAATAAGATTGGCGTCAGGAGGATTTTTTGTCAATCCCACAAAACTTTTTAATCGCTAATTTTCTTCAAATAAATATATTGTATTTTCATTATTGGTATGGTGCCCCTTTTTTGTGGGAATTTCAAAACAAACAGTTAAAATACGGCTTGAAAACACATCTTACCCCTTACAAATTCACACAAATTCGTTATTTTTTAAATATATAACCCAAAACGTCAAAAATACCACAATCCCCGTGAAACTTCTTTAGGTTAAGTATTAGCGTAACGAAGACGTGCAGCGTTTTTGTCGAAGAAAAGGGGAGAGCGATTGAGACCGATCGAGAGAGAGTGAGAAGGGCAAACCTTATAGAAATTCTAATTTTAAAAGTAAAGAGAATTTATGAAATGTCCCAATATTTTTGTAATTAGTCAAAACTTAAGGCTTATTTAGGGTACAATGTCTTATTTTAAAATACTTAGGGATAATATCAGTTAAAAAATTCCAGATACTTAGCCAAGATAAGGTAAACATTGATTAATTTTATTAGTATTTGAATTCTATTAAGCTATAGACAACAGACATAGGTTTATAGAATATCTACGCTGTATAAGGCTGTTGCATAAAATTAACATAGTAAAGTGTGATGAGCGGCCTTATATTTAATAAGTCATCTCTTTCAAGATCGTAATCGTATCTGAGATAAATAAATCAAACTCAAACTCAAAATATCTTTATTCAAGTGGGTAACCAAGTACACTTTTGAATCGTCAAGTTAAATTAATCGTAAATTTACATTTACTACCAGTTCGCAAGTCAAGGGCGTAGAGCGGGTAAGAAGAACTGGCAAGAAACTTTCCGCCACTCTTTTTAATCGCCAAGTATTGTCATACAAATTGTTTGAACTGGAGCAATTCAATCCCAAGGATTAGGATCATTTAAGTAGTCCTCAAATTTATAAAAAACTTTGTTGATTAATTTTCGTTTAACGAGGGCTTTGAATTTATTTAGTGATAATACTCTAATTTCGCTTGGGAGTTTGTTGTAAAAACGAATACAATTTCCATATAAGGAGTGGTTTATCTTTTGGAGCCTGGTTGGTCTTACACTCAAATTAGTTCTATTTCGCGTATTATACTGGTGAAAGTCACCATTTGTTTTAAAATCGTTTATATTTTTTTGGACATACAACAAGGCTTCAAGAATATATTGACCAGATAGTGTCATAATATTTAATTCCTTAAACTTATTCCGTACCGACTCCCTCGGAGAAACACAACAAATACCCCGAACAGCCCGCTTCTGCAGCACAAATATGGATTGAACCTCTGCAGCAGCACCCCACAGTAGAATACCGTACGACATAACGCTGTGAAAGTAGCTATGATAAACAATTTTTGCCGTGTCCTTATCAGTAAACTGTCGGATTTTCTTTACTGCATATGCTGCAGAGCTCAGCCTATTCGAAAGAGTATCTATGTGTGGGCCCCATTGGAGTTTACTATCTATTGTTATGCCTAGAAAAACAGTTTTGTCAACAAAGTTTAGTTCCCTGTCCTTTATTTTCAGGTTACCAATATCTCGCTTTACGCTAGTAGTTGTAAATCGAATACATTTTGTTTTATTCTCGTTAAGCAGTAAGTTATTTACATTAAACCAGTTAACTATACGAGAGATAGAATTGTTTACATCGTCCAATAATACGTTATTCCTATTCACTTTAAATAGAAGTGAAGTGTCATCAGCAAACAATACCATCTCATGAACTTCGTTGACAAAGAATGGGAGGTCATTTATGTAAATTAGAAATAAGAAAGGCCCGAGAATCGATCCTTGGGGGACGCCCATTGATACCTGCGAACCCGGAGAGGTGACTCCATTGACATGAACTCTTTGGATCCTTCCCTTTAAATATGAATTCATCAGGCTGGAAGCTTTGCCATCAACGCCATAGTGTTGAAGCTTTCCAACGAGTATATCAGGATGAACACAGTCAAAGGCCTTTGACAGGTCACAAAAGACGCCGACTCCATCATATGATTCTTCCCAGGCGTTAAATATGTCCGAAATCAACGTCACACCGGCATCGATTGTGGAGCGACCCTTAGTGAAACCATACTGTTTATTATGTAAGAGTTTATTTTTATTAAAATGTAAAGAAAGCTGGTCTAGCATTATCTTTTCAAAAACTTTGCTCAACGCAGGGAGCACGGAAACAGGTCTGAAGTTTGACGGATCAGACTCACTCCCTGCCTTAAACAACGGTGTAATTTTACTTAATTTCATTTCGTCCGGAAAGACTCCACAATCGATACATCTGTTAAAAATTATAGACAATTCAGAGCTTATTACATTAATAACGGAATTTAAAATGACTGTTGACATACCCCATATATCTTTACTTTTTTTTAAATTAATAAGCTTAAAAGTTTTAACGATATCATTACAAGTTATATGTTTAAACTGAAATTTAATATTACATTCAGGTACACATTTTTCTAGCAATGAGATCGCAGCAGCAGGTGAAGAATCTAGAGACTTGGTCGTATTTAGTGGTACATTTGTAAATAACTCTTCAAAAGAAGAAGCTACCTCTGGGTCAGATTTTATTAATTTCCCTTTGACTTTTAACATATAATCAGTTCGTTTGTCAGACGTTTTACCTGATTCTTCATTTATTATTTTCCAGGTAGCTTTTACTTTATCCATGCTATTTTTTATTTCATGAACTTAAATATTGAGACTTTGCAATTTTGCAATCTTTTTTGAAATTATTTGAATACAACCTAACATATTCCCTAAATTCCACACTAGTGTTATATTGCATTTCGTCATACATTTCATATAATTTTAACCTTTTCCTGTGTAACTCCTCATTTGCCCAGTCACAGAAACTTGTTTTCTCAGAGACCAATAAAGTCTTTTGAGTAAATACTTTCCTGAATTCATCAATAAATGATCCAAAAAAAGTATTGTATAAATTATTAGGGGATGAGTTGCCACACAGAAATGGCATCCTATAGACCAATGCTTCTCTAAATCTGTCCAAACGGTCATTTGTAATAGGAGTTATCACAGTTTTCTTCTTTTTACATGTTTTTTGTTTCCTTAATTGGAATTCAAACCATTGACCAGTGTGATCAGATTTAAATCTATTAAAAATACAAACATTCAAAGGGGCTATGTCACTATATATATTATCTATACAAGTTGCGGTGCTAGCTGTTATTCTTGTGGGTGAATGAAATTGATTTATTAAATTGTATGAACGAAAAAGACTAAGTATGCGTACACTTGAATTAGAATGACAAAGTAAATTGACATTAAAGTCCCCACATACAATTAGCCCTTTATTACACTTTACTAATTTACACAATATCTCCTCTAATACATTTTCAACATTATTATAGACAGCTGATGGAGGACAATATAGACATACAACAATGAATTGCTCCAGTTCCACACAGGAGATTTCAATAGTTAGTTCTACAGAGAGGCTGATAATATCCTTTCTTTCTTTGCATATAAGTTTTTTACTTATTAGGATTAATGAGCCAAATATAAAAATAACTACTAAAGCAGTTTTATATTAATAACACCTGTACTAATAGTTATAAAAGCAATAAATTATTGTTTTCCAGGCCAATTCCAACATATGTCCTCTCATCGGAACTACAGATGTTACGTGATGAATTAGCTGCTGGTGGTGTAGATGTGATCCTGCTGGATACCTGGTACAAAAAAGATTCGAATGCTGTGCCACCTATATCTGTATTGCAGCCTATTTCCTCTATACTTGTTAATTTTAATAATAAGGTTAGTGTAACTATAAGCCTTATTATTTTCCTTCTTTCCTTATTTGTCAAGTGATACAGAAACATTTTGAATTCAGCCTTGCGATTCTGTAACTCACTTTTCGAATGCCAAATCGTAAAATGACTGCTTTACGACTGATTTAAGCGCGACCGCCGCTGTGAAAACCGCTATGTGAGTTCGTAAAGTAAGTTACAGAATCGCAAGACTGTTGTTTTTTGAGGGACAAAACATTCTTTAACTATGTATTTTAATGATAAACTTATGCTTATAAGTATATCATTAAGTAACTGTTAAGTTATGTTATATAATAATAATTAAAGCAGGGTTGTAAAAATTATGATTTAGTTATTAATATTCAACAGCCTTGAACAAAACTATTTATGGAATCTGCGAGCATGTTTGTATGCAAATTTTATGCTAAAATTCTGAATAGAAATTGGACATTTATATTTTAAGCGGTTAATAATAAACAATGATATAAGTTAATAAGCTGTTTATAGTATATCACCTTATTCAATTAGATCCAACAAATTTTATCTCTATAATATATACAATATGTGTGTCAATATTGTTGAAACCACAAAGAAACAAACATAATTTGATCACAATTAATGTAATGATTGATGATAAAAAAGCTATAGGTAAGGGTATTCACATTTATAAATAGGTATAATTGAATTTTATATAGCAAAGCTATGTAAAATAACAGTAATTTGTGTTTGTGTTACCGTTGTGTAAAAAAAATTGCGATTTAAAAGAGTGCCGGAAAGTTTATTGCCAGTTCTTCTCTTCTGTTCGATTTGAGAACTGGCAGTAAATGTAAATTTAGAAGCATTAATATGTATTTCTTTACTGACGAGTCATAAGTGTACATTATGTTACCTATATGATTAAATGATCTTTTACTTTTACTTTTGAAGCCCTTTGACCGAGTGGGTAATAGCTATGAACAAATAATTACCAGTAGGTATTTGCACTTCTTCAATACACAAATGCATGTGGTACAATAATTTTTATTAATGTTTATTCTGATTTACAATATTTATTTTATATGATTTCAGAGAGTTCCAAAATTGCAAGCTGAGGACCAAGGAATATGGTGGGACACGCTGGGAAAAATGCAAAAATTATTCAGAAAGGCATCATTGCAGCTTTACAATTCTGGAAAAATTGATAAAGATACTATGCACAATTATTTTATGTCAGGTTTGTAATAGTGTCTTGTACACAAGTACTCATTTTAATTAAATATTTAAGGTATATAAATGCGAATTTTCGGGATGTATAATTTGGTCTTCAACAATCATGGTCAGTGAAAAATTGCCATATCTAGTGGATGACTTAATAACTATTCGTTTCGAATCAGAAGATCTCTCACTCAAAGGAGCTTGCTTTGCCTTCTTTGAGGAGATCCTATATCTCCTTTATGATTGATATCTCCTTTTCGTTAAACACTGCAAAGGTGTGCTGAGCTTTGTAACCCAAAATAATAAATTACGGGACCTCTGACATACAGAGCACCAGCAGACACGTCAGACGTTGTCAATACAAAAAATATCATCTAATTTTAAATCTAAACCATTTACTGATCCACTTAAAAAAAATCATCAAAATAGTTTCAGCCGAAACCGATTTTAATTACGAACGCATGGTCAGAAGGTTTATGCATACAAAAATAAGAAAAGCCCTTCCCCCTGCATAAACTATTTTTAAATTCATCTAGTACTGCTTTTCATGATTTTTGTACTTATACAATTTTTGAGTTTTTTTTAATATGTAGTAATAAATGCAAAATGGTAAAATTTATTTAAATGAAGTTTTAATTTAAACCTATTTTTTTTTTATTTTTAAAAACATTTATCCCAATTAGCGGTCCAAATTAAAAAAAAAATTGGTGTTTTTATTTATTTTTAAATAGGTTAAAAACATGACCAAAAACGGTTCACTTTTGCATAAAGCATAGGTAAAAAAAGGTTAAAATTATCACAATTAATTACCTCAATAACCAAACGGTAATCATCGAATTACAAATATATATCGATTGCACTAAAAAATATAGACACATTTGATTTTTTACAGTAACCGAACGCGAAGTTATCAATGGAGTTCTCAACGTTAAAAATACAAAGAACCATTGCCTGGCCTATGTACGATATATAAACAACATTAATCTCCAAAACTTGAAGAAAGCCAGCAATTTTGTAGATATTTTAAACAGAAGTCTGGACGCAGAAGCTTCAAAGCTTCTCGCTGATCTGCGTGATGTTAGACTACCAGAGAAAATCGAGACCACTAATATACAAAAGTATGTTAATCCATGACAAAAACATAGATTTTCCTGACAGTTATTTAGTTTTTTTAACCGCATAGTCAGCATATTAAAATAGGCTAATTTTAATAATCATAATTTATTTCTTTATTAATAAGGAAACAACAGACACATAACAAATACGAGATAAGACCGGCTGGACAGATGTTATTTATCTCTTTATTCGTGGATTCTTCTCCACTCCAAATAGCAGAATAAATTAAATATATGAATTAAAGAAGTAAATTAATTTTACGAATGCAAACAGCATGTGGTGCCATCTGTTGACAAAACTATGCATTATTTTACGTCGAATTCGTGTCAGCCCAAGAAATTCCGATTCCCAGCTCTTCCATAACAATTTTGGTGTTTTTAAGAGACCAAAAATTTATTTAAAATATAAAATTTTGTAGGCTTTTTACTTATAGCTTTATTATTTGCTTTAAAAATATTGTTACTAATATTATCGGACTATATTAAGTTGCCTCATACCAAGGTCGTTTTCACATCAGATGAGGGTCTTTTTTTTTAGGATATTACAATAGAAGACAAAAAAATTAATAAAAATCACCCTGCAATTCAATAAATAAAAAATAAAAATATTAGGTAGGATTTATTTCCCAGCATAGTATTTCTCAATTATTCTCTCCAATGCTGCCTCTTGCTTTTCTCAACCAAGTCAGTCTAGCCATTTCTCTTATATATTATCCCATCTCATAAACTACTATATTATTAACATAACAACGTGTTGAATTTCTTAATGCTGTCTCGCCTTGCCTTTGATTTATGTTGACAATTATAATATAAGGTATACTGTGGAATGGATTGGGCGTGAAGGTCTGGACAACGAGACGCATGGAGAGTATCTCAACCATTTCATCGCCCATTTCTACAAGAATATCATTAAACTAGTTGATAGGTATGTATGAAATTCCTTTAGTAATGCTTTCAGCAAGATTGGACTGTATTTCTGTTTTCAAAGCGTAAAGCTATCTTAATAAATATTATGTAATATTCTTCCTTCCTTTTCTTTAATTTCTTTTTTCTTCTTTATGATTCCATTCCTTTTCTGCCTTTCTTTTGTTACGTTCATGTCTTTCCATTCGTTTCTTAATTTTATTACTTTACTTTTTTCCTTAGTTTTATTTGTACTTTTCTTTTGTTCTTAAGCCGACAAGGAGTTAAATTTAATAAAAGCAAACATAACCTTAGAAAGTAATTTTAGTTTCTTGTGTTCAATATCTATGTGGCGAATCAGTCGAAATATTGTACCATTGCGTCACCTTTCCTAGTGTTGGTATCACTGGTTTGGATTAACGCAAGGTTTTTCTTAAATTCTGTTCACACCTAGGGTAAGATTCAGAGTCCTATGTCACTTCCATGGATTTCTCGAAGTCTCTTTTTTGAAGAAATCGTAACTTAAATCAGCCTCAAGAGATATTTCTGTTATTGAAGTTTTAAGGTCCACAATGCCTTTATTTAGAATCCAATTAATGTTTAGAAAATAGGTACGGTCCCTTCAGAGTGTTAGTTTCCAACATAGGCTTTCCCACAAAGAACTGCCTCTTTTCTATAAAATGCGAATTCTGAACCTTCATAGATCTATGAGGCAACTGTTGGAATGTTTATAACTTTTCAGGGCGATGCGAAAAGAAGATAGCAGCGCCCAGGGACAGATTGTGACGGAAATTCTTCAACACCTCCACGCTTGCAACAACTCTGTTAAAGTCTATCATGGTAGGGAGGATGATCTGCAGTTCATAGAGAATTATATGAAGAACGATTCGGATAAACCACTGGTTTTGTATGGAGAAGGTAAGATTGCAGAGAGGCTGTTTAAAGATTGTTGCTTCTCAGTTGTGATAAGTTTCTTAAAGAGTTTAACCTATAATACAAAGTTATATGGAGAAATTACATAGGTTTTTTTATGTCCTAAATTTATGTACTGTAAATATATTTACTGTTATGTATACATTCTAAAATCCTCGCATATAGTGTAGTAGTATAACTTGTATTTTTCGGACTAAACCATGCCATGTGCCCCATTCCCCATATTGTGGGACAATGTCCCAAATAACTACTACTAACTAAACTAATAAATTGTTTTAAAGATATATAAGTTATCAAATTTCACTGTTTTAAAAAAAAACTACAAATAGGAAGTTCCTAAAAAATTAAATAAATGCAAAATCTTAACTTTTTTTATATTTATTTAATCATCATTAATTTAAAATAAAGTGTACTTTCAATTAATTAAATGTGATCAATGCACTTATTAATATTTATATTTTATTGAAGACCAGATAAATGCTTTACAAATTAAGTCCCCAGCCGCGTTCTGTATGTACGCTATAAACTCAAAAAAATACGCATCAGATTTTTTTTTTAATTTTCAACAAGTTATTATATTATGATGGATTTCTGTAATATATGATCGTAAATCTAGCCAAAATACATGAAATTCACATAGGTTAAAGCTTTGGGCGGAAGGTAGTAACGTATAAATAACGTAAAACGATTTATTTTGTTAAAAGCATTGTCCCAATATTATAGGAGGTTGTGGCAAAACAAGTCTGCTAGCGAAGAGTTCAGCCATGTCCCTAAATTTGTGGTTTGCGGAAGCTCGTACGACAAATATTATTCGGTTCTTGGGAACTACACCGGACTCTAGTGCACTTACACCAACACTGATATCAATCTGTCAACAGGTTGGTCAACTGATCTAGCGATTTGTCCTAATTATATTAATATTTTTGGGAATTTTATAACTTGTATTTATTATTATTTTTTATTTACTAAGTATATACTTTTACACACAAATCTTCCAAGACATCTTTAGGTACTTACACTGTTAATTTTTGCCATTATTATTATTGAATTTTTTTTTATTGCGTCTGAGGCGCAAACTAACTTTTGTGGTCGCTGGCAGAATGACCAGCGCTGTGGAACAGCCTGCTCCTCAGCATAATGCCGAGCCAGGGCAGTTACAACTACAACACACACACATTACATACTTACAATGTACCTCATTCCTTTTTTTCTTCTTCCATATTTTTTGTTTTTTCCAATTTTTTATTATTGTTATTCTGTGTATTTCTGTGTGTGTTTCTATAGTTATAAATGTTATGTCTATGTCTAGTTGTCTACGTATTATTGAAAATTTGTTGATATATCGTTTGTGTTAAAGATATTTAAGAATCAGATTGATAATACCTAATGAACAACTAACCCAAGTAATTAATAAATAACCCAACCTTTTAACTAAATTTAAATTTCGTTTACCACCTAGATATAGGTGATGCCTAGGGCAGGCATCCCATCATCCCATTTGTCCAGAAAATCCATTCTGGATATCCCTAGTTGCAATCAATTTTCCTTTAGTAGTTATAATTTTAATCTCTTTGCATTTTTTTATGTTTGCCTATAAGCGCTTGTCTCTTTAAATCTTGAATTTTATTTGTATGTAAAAGCTTTTGTAAATATATGTAATAAATAAATATATAAAAGTTTGTTTACCACATTGAAGATTGTATTGGAAATATGGGAACTTATTTTTAAATTTATATTGTAACATTTCAGATATCATACAACTTCGCTCTACCATTTGAGAGCATTCCAGACGATTTAGTACCGTTAACAGCTCATTTTAAACAATTATTGACTATGGCAACACAGCAACAGCCTCTTCTATTGTTCTTGGACTCTGTCGATCAATTGACTGGGATTGGTACTGAGAATAATAAGGTTTCGTGGTTACCTACTAGGTTACCACCGCATTGTAAGGTAAATAATATATATTTTTTAATATCGATTTACACTAGGTAGGGCTTTTTTGGTTGCCTGAACAAAATAAATAGAATTTTTTCATGCATTATATCGTCAACACCAGTGTTTCCACCCAGAACCCAGAGAGCCCACGTCCCACATGGGGGCAATTTGTTTAAGAGGGCTGGATATAACACAACGTGGAGACTTGAGGCTGAAGCTTACCAAATTGGAATCCTATATAAAATCTTTGCAGCAAGCATCAAGTACAATGATCTCACTAAATTAATATAGAAATTTTTGTATATTTGGAATTTGAAATTTTGTGATGTGATTCCTTCCTAGAACCGATCATATAAATTTCTTAAGTGTTCAATTAAATTTTTTAATACATATAAATTATGTATGTTGCATAGCTTGGGATAAAAGTTTTAGGTAGGCTAAGGTGGGCCAAAAAAGGTTGAGTATGTTTCTCAACCTTTTTTGGCCCACTTGGTTTTTTCGTGTGAAATTAGTTTCGTCTCTATTCAGGGAAGTACCTAATTTATTTTCATAGAAATACTTTTTTTTTACAAAATAAAAGATATAGTTAGCGGCATAAATTAATTAATTTATTATTTATGTAAATGAGTCTAATGAATATATAAAAATATTTTTAGCAGATATTATTGTACATATCTTTTTGAATTATTTTTAACATGAAAAACAAATGATTTCAGATTATCGTGACGTGCGCGTGCGAAGAAACAAATCCAGAAGTTTCCAAAGAATATGATGTACTTCGTAGAATGATCGACTCCGAAGAGAACTTTCTAGAAGTTAAGGCTCTGGGTGAAGATTTAGCAATGCAAGTATTAAAGTAAGTATATATACAGATTCGTGCTTTTAATTACGATATGTTTTTGTTTTTTGTATAATTTGATAATTTTTTATTTAAAAAGTGCTTAAAATGTGTGTATAACCTAAAATCACGGTTTATTAAATTAGTCTTGACAGATATGTGATGATATCTGACATAATAAGTGTTTCCGAGACGTCAAAATTTGTAAACAATAAGTATTTTGTTTTATTTTTGTATATCTTGTATATTACTCACTCCGCTGGCTCTGAGACCCAAAACGTGTCTTGGCCTCCGAAAGGAGAATCTTCCAGCGGTTCCCTGTCCTGTGCCACCAACTAATCATATATTATCATGTATATTCAGTTGAAAAGAAAACTAAAATAGATGTCTTTTAAAAAATCTCTTAACATGGATTGCCTATAAGAGATACAAATATTTTTATATGAATAATACTTCGCTACTAATATTTTTTTAAGATTATGGATGGCGGCCGCAGCCCGTGACCTCTCAAACTACCAGTGGAGGTTGGTCTCCAACGCCATAGGACAGTGCTCTTTGCCTATTTTCGTCAAATTGGTTTTCGCTGAGGTGAGTTAGCTGCCGGCGTAGTTTCGCCATAATATGATTTTTTTACTAAGCCAACCTTTTTAGTACCTACAAGCCAACATATGGAACATTTTAATCTCGTACTACCTAATAAGTTGGTTGGAACGCTTTTAACAAAAACTTGAGCTCAAGTAATAATGGTTAATGTCTTAGGTTTGTAGATGGAGAAGTTACACAAAGCCCCAGGATACACACTTGGCGTCCACTGTGATGGATTCCATCATGATGCTCTTTGAAAGGATCGAGAAGCAGGTATGAAAGTAATTTCAGGGTTACTCGAAGTTCATTAAATTTCGTTACTTTAAAAATAAAAATAAGAAACATAAATTATTTGGGATGCAACGGGCTTATCGCTAACAAGCGATCGCTTCCAGGCAACCGCAGTAAAGAAAAAAAAATCTATACTAAGGGTTAAGTGCAAGAAGTGCATAACCAAATTAACAAAAAAATAAATCAGTGGCGCTACAACCTTTTTAGGTCTGAGCCTAAGATTTCTGTATCTGCTTCATGATCATTTGTCAATCTAATAGGCTAGTAGGTGATCACCCTCCTGTGCCTGACATACGCCGTCTTCACCGTTCGAGCGAATGTTAAATGGGCACGTGAAAGAACATTAGTACACAGCCTGGGATCTAATCAGCGACCTCAGGGATGATAGTCGCACGCCAACCACCAACCACTTAAGCCACTAGGCCAACACTTCTCTTAACACTGAGTAATTCTTTAGAGCATAAATAATTTAAGAAACTCTTTAATTATTTATGCCTGAATGTGTGAAATATTAATGAATCCAGCTGCTCTGGAGTTACGTATACAACGACGTATTTCACGGTCCATATTCTAATTCCTATCTCAAGTCAGAATCTCTAGTTTTGAGTTTGAGTTTATTTATATTCAAGATTATGATAAAGTGCCAAATATTTCAGCACGGTCGTCTTCTAGTATTCCACGCATTGGCGTATATAACTGCAGCTCGTAGCGGTCTTTCGGAGACAGAGTTAGAAGACCTCATTTCTCTGGATGACAGAGTCCTGGATGACGTCTATCAATACCATCTACCACCTGTTAGGAGAATACCACCTCTATTATGGACCAGGTAAGGGTTTTCTGAAAAAAATCAGTAACTTTAAATTTTTGAACATTAAAGGGAGCGTTCAAGAATTACGTAACGAATTTTTTGTCCTTTTGTGAAACGTTACTATGCGAGGCAGGGATTGAATTACGCGTTATTATTTTCGACTTTACACCACATAATGGTAACTTTTAGGTATAAAATTGAGGAGTGTCATATCAAAGTGACTTTTTTCCACTTTTGAAAATAAATGAGCTAATGATGGGAATCGATTTTTAGCATACGATTACACCACTATACCAAATTGTGTATTACAAAAACGCTTAATTCGTCTCTAAATTTGACTTTCAATTCACGTATCTAAAACAATTTTGCTTATTTCCACGTCATTTGCTAACAGTATTCAAGACACAAATATTCTTTTACAAACCGACTTATTTCCAATACATAATTCGAGTCTAGTCGCTTGTCTATAGCAAACAGATTTATTTCCATTCCACACATTTCATAGATTAAGAAAAGCGGCGGAAAAGGCACAGACTAATCTAAAATTCTTTGTCTATGCTAAAAAAGCCTATGAGCCAAGACCAAAGAACAAAAAAGTTGTTTTTTTCTAAATCCTACTGACAATGTCAGTCTGACATTCATTGACAAGTTGGTTTTGTTTTGATTGACACAATTTTCTGTTGAGTTGAAGTTGAGTAAACGTGCAGAATTTTGTTGAAAGTTTTAAATAAGTTACAAAACTCATAGGCTTATTTTGGGAATAACAATGGCAGAAAATCGTGTAGAAGATATCAATTCGGGTGGGCGTAAAGATAGAACGAGAAAAAACCCATGGAAGAAAAAAGAGTAAGTTGTAAAGGGTAGTTGCCCGAGAAGATAATGTGACGACACATTGCGAGCAGGAAGATTGTAATTGTTTAGATCCAGATGTAGGTGAAGTACGTATTTAATAGGTTATGTGTTGTGAGTCAATAAAAAATTCCTTATTCTTAACAATTAATTTGTTTTTATTTCCATTAAAATTTATATCACGTCATATTATAAGGTCTGTTTCTCAGAGCCAAAACAAAAAGGCTTTATTCCTTAGAGTACCTAACAAAGAGGCTTATTTCCTGTAGTCCTGAACAAAGTGACATATCCAAATTTTTGAGTAAGGTATTATACATATTTTTTAGAATTAATGTGCTAGTGTCAGAATTACTTAAATACGATCTTCTTTCATGGTGACATGAAAAATAAATGTATAAAACACAAATTAATAACGTAGAAGTTTTTGGCATTTATTTAAAAATCTGATAAGGTGGAAATAAGTCCTTTTGAAATAACTCAAATCAAATCAAATCAAAATACGTTTATTCAATTTAGTTGCTTCTTAGAGCATGCTTATGAATGTCAACAACGTTTACAAAATTCACGAAAGAGCAAGACTACGCCATTCAGACTCTCCTCAAATAGTCACTAGATGGTCATGAAACGTTTTACGATACAGAAAAACGTTACGGCGCGTTACATGGGGGGGTGAAATCTCCAAAAATTGCGTGACGTAATACTTGAACGCTCCCAAAGCTGGTTTGTAGGGACAACCTACAACCTTCTATAAAACAGAAAGATGACGTCATACCCTGAAACGCGCTAACGAGGTGTTAGTAGGAGGGGGAGGCTGTAGGAGCCTCGGTGTGTCTTAACGGATCCGGATGATCCAATAATAACAGCTAACGACAAATTTTAAGCCTAGGGTAAAAAACTGCTTTCGCCGGGGAAAGCGGGGTCGTTTACTTCATACTTTTCTCACTCCGATTGACCACCCCGTGGCTGCCGAAGGCAAGGACCGAGTCTCGCAGGAGGTGCCTTTGCGCTAGTCGCGGGATTAACTCCATTCCAGTCGAGCTATGCTCGCCAATACAGCCCGAGCTAAGCTGTCAAGGCCCTTTGAACCAACAGAGTGAAGCCATACTAAAAAAGTACTAATCAGTGGCAAGACGGGTCTAAGCTCCCGGTAGGTCTATAGACCATACTTACCTGAGACTGGTGATAATCCAGGCTATGCCAGTTATTGAAATGTTAAATACACTACTACTTCATAAAGATAAGCGAAAATTTTTGAGAAAAATCCAATTTGCCACAAAAGTCTTGAATTTCAATGTTAAATGTATTAATTAGTTCTCAAGTAATTTTACACATTACTTTATTTCTGCATTTTCTATTAATATTTTTTGCGGACTGTGAGTATCGGCTGAGAAAGGAGAAACTTGGCGCAGTCTGATAGTTTACGAATTACGGAGGGAAATAAAAATTATTGGATTTGCGTTCCCTAATTGCGTTCCTTAATCATTTCATAAAATCTGATAAATTCCAAGAGGCTGATTGCAGATGGGTAGAATTTAAAAAAATCTATTTGTTTTTATTATATACGTTAAGGGATAATAGATAAATAACGCCAATCAGGGAATTTAACACTAAGAAACACCTAAACCTTACAACAAATAAAGTTATAACAGTTTTAGTACCCTTAACTCATGAGAAAAGCTTCTCTTACCTGATATAATATGTTCTTCCAGAATCCGCAACGACCTTCCAAACTACCTCTCAGAGAGAGAAGCAGATGGAGTATCGGTGATGAACTGGTACCATCGTCAGTTCAGAGACACAGCCCGTGAGAGATATTTCAAGAACATGAATATGGCTATGTACTTCCATTCTATGATTGCTGATTATTACTTAGGTAATCGTGATATATATTCATATCATATATTAAGTACATGTACCTAAGGAAATTTACGTTCTTAGTTCGATTGAAATTTAATTGTCTGACGTAAATTGATATGGGTGAAGTGAATTCTGGCAATGTTTATATTAATCTTCGATGAAGTCTTTAAAACTGCTGTCACACCCAAACGATAAAGCCGGAATTACATTACGAAAATAGTGGTATGCATGGGAAATCAGCTTAACGAAAGTAATTTTGTAAAATAATTAGTGTCGTGAAATCCTCAGTATAGCAGTAACAATGGCACGATCAGCATCAATGCTTTATTTTCCTATATTGAATGTAGCTAAAGAGATGCTTCTCTATAAACTTAAAATGCTGCATTCTTTCGCAACTGGAAATAGTTTTAAGTCTTTATCATAAGAATTCAGGGTTTCGATCGTTGTGAGGAATACGTTCCCACTCGTCTGCAATTACTCTTTTTTACCTCTGTTGAGCATGTCTGGGATGTTCTAAAGAGACGAGTGAGATGAGTACAAAATAATAATTACACCTCATTTAAATTTGAATCAATACTATTTACAAAATATACACTTCTAATGTTATACAAATATAACTATTTTTTTTCAAGGACCTATTAAGGAGTATAGGCTTTCTCCGACTGGCTCCATCTCTCTTTATCTTAGCTCGTCAGCCCACCGTGCAAGAGGCGTCCTCTTTTTCCTTTTCCCCGGTTTTGTACATACAGATAATTAAAATAATTTGTAGAATATCGTGTTTGGTAATATATAATTTTTCGTCTTAAATCTAAAATAATTTTTTGTTAACTTTTCTGAATTTTGTTTTTAGAAAAGTTTCCATATTTAAAACTAGATTTTTTTGTCTGCAACTAAATTGTTATTTATTATTTGTTTTAACATAATTTGATAGTTCATCTATAGAACTTATATACTTCGTTTCTCCGTTGGGACTCCCATTTTTGATGGGATATAATTCACAGAATAACTATAATATTACAGGTATCTGGGGTGGAGGTACACCAAAGCCTTTTAAGTACACAGAAATACAAAGACACAGATTCAACTTGGCTGACAAAGAGGGAGTAGCAGATCGGAAAGTGCCCCTTCAACCTTTAGTCTTCACTTCCGCTGATGGCTCCAGCAAGAGATACAACTTGAGGAAGGTAGCCTTTTTATTACATTCTTACATATTTTTAGATATCACAATACGATTTCATAAACAACAAAAAGAGAGCTTGACTATGTTATTGCTAAATTGACTTTGATATCATAAATAAACTAGCTGACCCCGCAAACGTTGGTTTTGCCATGTATTTATTCATAGGAAAAATATTTTTAGTTCCATAAAAATAACTACAGTCAAAACCGTTTATAACGACATCGTTTACAACGACCTATCGGTTATTACAACCAGATTGTTTGGTCCCGTCCGAATCTCCGTTCGTTCTTTTGCGTTACTTACGAAGAATGTAAGGGCATGCCCTACGGAGTTTCGATTTCAATATACAAACCCCCAGGCTGTTATGAAAGCTTTTAAAGATCTTAAAATTAAATCTACAGAAGATCTTTGGGGATTGTCTGTAAAAGTCTGTAGTTCTATCATCGAAACTATTGCGCCTTATTTAGCTTTCATATTTAACACCAGCATAGACCAAGGAGTCTTTCCGGATCTCATGAAACACAGTAAAGTAGTTCCGTTGTTCAAATCCGGTGATAGTAAAGAACCCAATAATTATAGACCTGTGTCAATTCTGCCAGCTCTCAGTAAGGTTTTTGAAAAGTTAATGCTCAATCAAATGTTATGTCACTTTAATAAAAACTCCATCTTTCATGAACAACAGTACGGTTTCACCAAAGGGCGTTGTACAACTGACGCCGGTGTCTCCCTAATCAAGAACATTTTTAACGCTTGGGAGGAAGCACAAGATGCCATTGGAATCTTTTGCGACCTTTCGAAGGCGTTCGATTGCGTAAACCATTAGACTCTTCTGCTGAAACTTAATCACTACGGGATTAAGAACAAAGCTCTGGACTTACTAAGATCTTACTTGAAAAACAGACAGGTTAAAGTTCAGGTTAACGGCATAAACTCGTTAGGGTCTGAAATTACAATGGGCGTTCCTCAGGGTTCAATATTGGGTCCATTCCTCTTTTTAGTATACATAAATGATTTACCCCAATTAGTTCAGAATAAACCGAAGATGGTGTTATTTGCAGATGACACATCATTGATTTTTAAAGTAGATCGACGGTCACAAAATCGTGACGACGTGAATAACTCTATTCTTCGGGTCCAAAATTGGTTTACGGTAAACAATTTGGCACTGAATGATAAAAAAACTAAATGTATTAGATTTACGTTGCCAAATGTTAAAAGTAAGGAATGTGACATAATGTTGAATGAAGGAAAACTGGAATTTATTAATCAAACGGTTTTCCTAGGCATCACGCTAGACGAGAAGTTACAATGGGGACCTCATATCACATCTCTTGCGGGGCGGCTGAGCTCAGCCGTTTATGCGGTTAGAAAGATAAGATATTTAACCAATGTAGAAACTGCGCGTTTGGTCTATTTTAGCTACTTTCACAGCATAATGTCTTACGGCATTTTACTGTGGGGTCGGGCTGCTGACATAGAATCCATTTTTATTTTGCAAAAGAGAGCGGTCAGAGCCATTTATAATCTACGTCGTTGCGAATCTCTCAGGGAACTATTTAAAAAGATTAATATTATGACAGTACCTTGCCAATTCATTTATGAAAATATTATGTATGTAAGAAAGAATCTACATCTTTTTAGTAAAATAAATGAAAGACATAATTTTAGTACTAGAAATAAAGATAAAATAGCTCAACCATCTTTTAGATTAGCCAAAGTTCAAAATTCATTTATGGGGTACTGTGTGAAATGTTACAATAAAATACCTTGTGACATTTTAAAACTAAATGAACGAAAATTTAAATGTTTTATTAAAAGTACACTTTGTAAACAAGCATATTACAAATTAGATGATTATATTCAAGATAAGAATGCTTGGAAACATGCTGGTCCTGCTCCATAGGACAATCCTATGATTGGCTCTATAGCCTGGACAAAATCAAATTGGTTGCTGATTTTTTGCTAAAAAAAATATGTTAATTTTTGTTATTATTATTATTATTATTTTTTTTTTATTTATATAATGCTACAAATGTAATTATTTTTTTTTGTATCTCACACACTGTTTTGTTGTGTTTTTTTAATATTTTTATTACTCTTTAATGTTAATATTCTAAGGTTTCGATATTTGTAAATATGTGAGGAACATGTATACTAACTTTTTTAGTATAGTAGTTTATTCTAAGAGTACATTGTCTTCACATATAATTATTTAACAAATGTAACAAAATATTGTAAACCTATTTTAAAAGAGTAAGTGTGGAGTTTCTTGCCCATTCTTCTCCACACGAAACTACCTTTTGGAAGGGGCAACTAGAATCATCTTTATATTTTTTTTTTTTGACGTTCAAAAGTGCCATTTTAGATGGTCTAATTGAAATAAACGATTTGACTTTGACTTGACTTTGACTTTGAATCCCTAGTAAACTATTCAGTAAACAAACCGCGTATAACAACATCGGATACAGCGACATATCGCTTACAACGACGAAATTTTATCGACATTCATCGGCTATAACGACCAACCGCTTCTTGTCTCAGCAAAACAAAACAATACAAACGAATTTAAATCTTATTTATAAGCATTGAATGAATATTTAGGCATATTATTACCTACGCACTTTCTCCCGCCTCATCCGAACCTCTTCCCGGCCATTTGACCTTGCATACTTTACACATGTTTAGTTCGCTAATTGACTGCGTGAGTTACAGTTTGATTTAAAAGTGTTGGTGTTCTTTAGACTTTGCAATTGTGCATTTATGTGTTATCATGTCGCAAAAAAATCTCATGTCATATAGATTAAATGCAAAAAATATTTAAGACTGGGGTTAAAAAAAAAACAGACCAAAATGACTGATTACTTTTGTACCTAATTATTTCGCAATAAATATTTTTGTTTCTTTTTTGACTCCTTTACATATTAGAATATAAACATACTTACCATATTATAACCCATACCTACCTTTTCTAGATAGATAACTATGATAATATAACTATGTACATACATATGTACCTACTATACTTGTGTATAATATATGACATTGCTTATAACGACTATCGGATATAACGTCGGCAACTATGCGGTCCCTTCAATGTCGTTATAAACGGTTTTGACTGTATCTACAATAATAAAAAATAGGAATTGATCGTAGAGGGGTGAAAATTGGGGGTTGTATGTATTTCTGGATGTTGTATCATAAAAAATAAAAACAAAAAAAATTCTTAGGGGTTTGAAAGACAGATAGTAGCCAATTCTCAGACTTGCTGAAAATCCATAAAAAAATTCATATGAATCGATCAAGCCGTTTCGGAGGAGTATGGGAACGAACATTGTGACACGAGAATTTTATTATAAATAAATAATTAAGACAATTTATTTCAGATACTTTATATTTAAATACAAGTTTTAGATTTAGTTTATTAATTGGCATTGTGACATCAGCTACCTTAGTTACTCTTCTTAATGATGTATTCTTTCATATTACATATATACTTCGATCAAACAGTTTCCAAATTAAATTTTATTATTATATATAATTTTAATCTTGAAGTTCAGTAATTCTGGAAATAAAAGTTTATCTTTGGTTACTTCCAGTTCGGTGAGCTGCCGTTCCACCTGGTTAGGTCTAAACGCTTCACGGACCTGTACGCCGAGGTTCTGTTTAACTACGAGTGGTTACACGCGAAACTCAACTGCTGCCCTCTTCAGGCCGTGTTGGCTGACTTCGAGGATGCTAAACTACATGTTAATAAAGATGCAGTCAGGTACTCTTAAAACTAAATAAAGATTTGATTTGTTTTATAGACCTGAAGTGATACCGCCCATGGACATTCACAGAAGAGTGGCGAGTGTGTAGGTTTTTAAGAATTGTTACGCTCTATTCGACCCTAAGTCGAATTGGTTTGGAAATAATTCCGTGGGCAGCTGGTGGTTATTGGTTTTTTGTGTTGACAAATTGTTTTTTTTTTTAAATTGAAAAAAAAATTGAAATAAAGAAAAACTATTTTTTAATTCAAAAAGCACTTTAAACAACGAAGAAATTAAAAAAAAATAAAACATTTATTTAAAAAAAAATTTCATAAAGACACAAAAAAATCAATCAGTCAATCAAAACCTAAATAGAAGCAATATTCAATCATATATGTAATTATTTAAGAGAACTAATGCTGGTCGCTGACGCATTGCGCCTCGGCGGTGCCATATTAGGAACATATCCCGATATGTTAGCACCACAACTAGTTGGGCGACTGTTGCCCGAGGCTGCTCAAAATCCAGCTGTGTCTTCCCTGCTAAAGCAGTGTCATGATAAGGGGAAAAACCACTGTGCATTGTTGCCATCGCATCATTGCTTGCATACACCTGGAGGACCTTTAAAAGTAAGACAAGAGAAAAATAAACTGAACTAATAATTTATTTTTTATACTAACTGGAGAAGTTTTAAGTTGCATATTTACTGTTTGAGACAAACTATTATTAATTTCGTATGATTGTTCATGTATATTTAATATAATAAAAACAACTAAACTAGCAGAGAACATTTTTGGAAAATGGCGCCAACTGTAAAAGAATATAAGCAGAGATTTTTTTTTTCTTCACCCATTCTGGGTAGGCATAGAGAAGAACTATGCCCATACAGCCAAGTCTTCAGTAGAATTTTTGAAGTTATACTTCTTTAGGCGCGTTGTGAAAAATTGATGAGAGTGAAATTTTACGATGCGCGCGCACCGTGACACAAAATTGTCAGTGTGATTATAGCGTGCGCGAGCGAGATAGGAATAAGACAATCTACAAGTAAAAAGAAATAGAATATGCGTGAAGTTCGCAGCTATGCCAAGAATTTTGAATGAGCATAATGACATTTATCATTCACCTTTTAAACAAATAAAGGAGTTTTAATTATTTTTTCAAAGAAATTTAGCAATGCTTTTTGAATTATAATCAGAAGTGATTTAAATTGAATATTTAAATCAATACTAATTAATATTAGAACATATTTGTGAAAAAACTGTGCTCATCAACCTTCCTAAGTGCTTCAATACAATTGAGGTTAACTATCCGTATGTATTATTATTTTCATCAGGCTATCTATGCCTATCAAGTCCAAATTATAGATAATATAGTCGAATATCGAACCCAGAAAGATTTTGCGAACGTTTCACTGGTATGTAGTGCTAATTGTATTTACAACTCAGAGTTATAAGTACACTGATATTTTTCTTTACGTGACGCATTTTATACCTAAATAAATCAATTGTAAATAAAACAAATATACTTACTACTGGTTAAGCATGGGGATAGAATAGGGATAATAGAACATCAATCGAACTTAAATCTTGGTGCTGTCAAACCATTTTCCTTATAAAGTTTGACATATTTTACAGCGCTCAAGACGAGATTGTAACTTAACTTACGAATGAAGACCTAAGTAAAATAAAAATATATTGCAATTTTAATTCGAATACAAAGTGGAATAGATCCCGGGCCCATCCCTCACCTGGCGTCTGGCACGCGCACAGTATTAATATTGCTGTGTCAGCAACACACGTTCCCTCTATACAACATATTTTAATCTGGTCGTTTCATGTGAATATATTTTTAAAACGCAATTGTTTCTCATGTCTTTCATCGCATCGAACCCTCGTATACAAAAAAAGCTAATAAAAACAATCACATTGATGCAGTACCGTACAGTAGGTACTCAATTCATAAATACGTTGAGTATTATGTTTTTTGAAGTTATACTTCTTTTGGCGCGTTAGGGAAAAATAAAGTAACCGACACCCTGAAGTTAGCTATAGTCGACATTTTAGTTTCTATTGTTCGTGTCGTTTTTTCTACAAACGTATAATACATTTTTTGAAAAGATTTTAATTTTGTTACGCCAGAGAAGCATAACTTCTAACGCGTGTACATAAGTACACACACGTTTTTTTTTTTATAACAGCTTTTCTGATTTAAAACGCGACTTTTTGACATACGGAAGTCTTATTTAGCGTTAAGTTTCGTTTCTGAACATTTACTATTTTATTTCTTTCTTGCACAATAAATATAGAATTCAAAAACTACTAGTGGTACTTATCGCTATTAAGCGATTTCTTCCAGGCAACCCTAACACTGAGTCGATGGCCTTTTTCAGTATTCCCTCGAAGGTCACCAATTCGCAGTGTTCGCGTTCCGATTGAGCTCTGACAAACGTTATGTGGTGTCAATCTCAAGTAGGGTGATCTCCTGGGACCTCTCGACGTCAGACCTGGCCAGGGACCTGTGTCCTCAGTTGGAAGGAATTATGCAGAACTTGGAGTTGTCATCTGATAACAAATGGGCTGCTGCATCTACTAACAATTCTGTCGTAAGTTGCTCATAAAGTGGTCCATACTGAGTCCCACTTATTCATAAATCAGTGAAATTCCACTCTTTCGTCTCTTTTAGTCATATTGTGTTTACGCTGTGATGAAAAGAGAAAGAGTACTTTAATTAAAACGGTACAGAGACTAACTTATTTTTTATACGTAACTTAAAATTATTTTATTCCCTGTAAATGGGTTCTGCGTGAAAGCGAAATCTAAATCGAACGTTTTATACGGTTTGTTTTTTTTACAGTTTATTAATAGGGTTTATTTTTAATTTAGTTTTTCGTTTATTACGGTTTTTTATTAAGTTTTTTTTTGTTACGGCTATTTTACAGAGTAGGCACGAGGCTCACCTGATGTTAAGTGATACCACCGCCCATGGACACTCAATACCAGAGGGCTCGGGAGGTTGCTGGCCTTGTAGGAATTGGTAGGCTTTCTTGAAGAACCCAATGTAGAATTTGTTCGTAAATACTTTAGTGGGCTTGCTTTTTACTATGGTTTTTATTTTCTTTTCTGTTCCTGACAACACTATTTAAATTGATTTATTTTTTACAGTCAATATTATTAAACATGCTGACAAGCGAATATATAACAATCGAAAATCCTTTGGATGAAGGTAATTTATTTAATAAGAGATTTTTTTTAAAATACGCAATTAAAAATTATGAAAATTTTAATTTTAAGACACTTTTTAAATATTTTTATATAGTATTTCCAATATCCTACATAGTAATAATAATACTTAAATGTTTTGTGTTTATTGTTAATTTGTACCTTTAATGCTGGCACGATTTCCACGCTGTATTGCGATACTTATTCGTTGAGAAAGCATCAGCTCTGGGGTCACCGGTTTAACAAATTAATTAATTTAGTTTCTACGCCGAATTTAAATAAAAATACATATGTGATTTGTCTACCACTCCGTTTTTATATCGTATAAATTAAATATTTCAGGCGAAACAGTACGCGGTGTTTTCGTACTAAACCATCACATGATAATATACGGACCCCAATCCTGGGTCCAATACAATACAAGGGGTGAACACGAGCAGACAATCTCGGCTCCAACCACTGAACCATACGACGAAATGTCTTGGGAAATATTGTGTGAGTAATATTGGTTTAACATTTTTGGAGCTTTGCTTTCATTATACTCATCGCTGCAAAACCTAAGTTATACAGAAGCGAAGGATTTAATTTTACACATTCACACAAACAAACAAGCACAAAAGTAACCCATACGAACACACATATACAAGCACTCACACACAAATATGTACAAACATATTTTGCACGTATTTATTACCAAATAAGTTACGGAAGACCTGCGTCTAAGTATTTTTAATTAGATAACAAAAAAGGGGTGTAAACATGTACAAATTGTTTATAATTCTAGTTACTATATAAACACAATTTTGAATGCCTATGTTAGTTCAAGTCTCATTTAAAATGATATTAAAGCCGGTGGCTGAGACCTTTTATCTCTGCCTTGCATTTCTGTAACTCACTTTTCAAACTCTCACAGCGGTTTTCACAGAGGCTGTCGTGCTTAAATCAGTCGTAAAGCAGTCACTTTGAAAAGTGAGTTACAGAATCGCAAGGCTGGGCCCCAGATTTATCTGTTTCGGGACTTGTTTTTGTAATAATCAAGTAGGTGATCAGACACACGTCGACTGACCATTTGTATTAGAGATTGTTTTGGAGAATATTTTTGTACAGCCATGATTTAAAAGCATTTAAAAACCGTAAATAAATAATATAATAAGACCAATTTTTGCTTTGTCATGAAAAATGATTTTAGTAAACCTGTACTTTTGATTTGTTTCTATTACTGTTTCCGTTAAATGTGTATGTTTTGTGTATTGAATTTCTCAAATTAGAAAATAATATTTTGTGTTTATCTTATACTTTAAATATTATAATTGAAATACTTTGCAGCCATGGACTTTCGTGACTTGGAAAACCTGGTGCTCCTAATGTGGAGTGGGGATTTGGATGACGATAGGCTTCTAGTTCACTTCTGTAAAGCCGGGAAATGGATGCAACCGCTGCGCTGCCGTGGAGCTGTCAGTTTGGACAAAACCTGGGGGAGGGTATATAGCAGTGATCCGGGGAGGGGATATCAGGTTAATTTAATACTTCTAAAATTAGTCTTTATTGATGGAGTGGAGATTTTTTTGCAGTTTGTCATAAATTTAACCGACTATATTTCACCGACGAAATTTAGCATACTTGCTTGGATCATCCATTCATCCATCCAGATCATCATAGTCAAATATGATCAGCCCCAAGTTCCAATAGTAATTATAACTTGAAGAAAATATTAAAGTATACACAAAACCTTTTACGTTTTCTGTGCCTGACACACCGTGAATTTTTGGGTCTAATGCATGAATTTCTTCACGATGTTTTCCTTCACCGTACGAGCGAAAAAAGACGCGGAGAGGGTAAGGGAAGCCGATCCCGCAACCCATCCGCATCACCGTATAAGGTGTCATGTAATTCTGGGCACGCAAAAGTTTCCGCGGAGGAACAGGGATTCATGCGTCTAAAAGAAGTGATGCTGACGCATTCTTGCAAGCAATGCACCCGACTCTACATATCAGGCGACTCTACCCGACCCTCCCCCAGCTCTACATATCAGGGCCAATTAGCTGATGTGTGTATAGCCCTTGCCGTGCTGAGCCGTGATTTCAACGGCTGATCGCCTGGCAGAATGCGTACAAGGCTACGCTGTTACCGTGTCCTGTCTCGGGAGCTTACTGGTGGTGCGGTCGGGTTTTAGTGGGTATGCACAGAAGTGAGTCTCACATAACCCCAACACAAGGCAGTCGCCCCGCGAATTGAAAAACATTTCCCCACTAAAAAAAAAATATTACATTATTAACTAACTCTTAATACTTGCAAAATTTCAGGATAGTAATATATTGTCAGTTAAAAATAAACCAATGTTAAACGTGTATTAATTCAATATTTATTTTAAACTTTGCTGCAGATATCCGCTTACGAATTAGATGAAGAGCAGTCCAAATGGATGAAGGTAGAGGAATTGCATCATCAGGAAACTGACACTGCGGAAGCCATGCTGCAACTGAAGAGAGGCAAAAAGGATAGAATGCTTCTTGGTAAATACTACTTCGAATTCTATAAAACGTTGCCAATTCACTAATACATGTATATATATTTTACTAGGGTAGGCCGTAAATTCTTTTAATATGTTTTTAGTACATATATATACCAAAACTGATAATAATTTTGTTTCGGCATAAAATGTATAAACAATTATTATTATTTTTTTCATTACGTATAATATGTATTTTTTAGCAACTACAACATACAGTTTCGTTGTATGGGACTTCAATAATTACATACCGAGGGTAAACCACGAGACGGACAAACCTAAAGACGAGGAAAAAGAAGAGAACGAAGAAGTAAGTCCAAAGATAATATTTATAAAAATCTTTATCCACAAATTCCTTGTAAACCATGCACGATTTTTACCGAAGTATTGAAGAGTTTAAATCTACCAATGTACGTTTGTGTACGTATACGTATGTGCGTTTCAACTTTTGTCTTACATAATATTATGTCGACGGAAATATATCTTATCACCTACTTGTCTAAAATAAAAACCATGCAATCTCCATAAAAAATAACGAAATACTATTACTGTATATCTGGTACACTAAAAATTATAAAAAAAATATACATAGCTTTTAAAATAATGACGAAATAAATTCTGAGTTAAATAGAGTGACAAATTCTGTTTCAGGAAGCAGAAAAGGAAGATGAGCCCGAAAAAGATCTACGTTTAGAAGGGATCGTTTTAAAACTGCCCCACACGATCAGAAATATATCCACGAAAATGACGCAGTCAAATTCGTTTATGATTAGTAAAAACTATAAATACGCTGTCGCAGGAGTGAGGTGAGAGCATGATACAAATTGTTCTTAATTTTTCCGTCTTTAATAAAAAAAAATATAAAGGAATCAATGATAATAAAAAAAAACATAACAATTGGTTTATGAATTTAGTCGGTTAGGTACAAAGTGCGTTAGTAGGCCGTTGCCAAGACGTATCGAGGGTAGAAAATACAAGTAGGGTGTCTTTAAAGTTGACTTTCTGTTAGTACAAGTAGATAAATATGAAATAAAAGAATAATGATTCTGATGATTGCATAAAATAATGTATTTGTATTGTACGAGCCAAAGCTGTCAAATTTGCTCAACCATTTTTGATTTAAAAAAAAATGGTGCGTGTACTTATGTACGCACGTAAGAAGTTATACCTACTTCTTTGGCTTTCTTTATTTTTTTTAAATATTAAATAACAATAATAAATATTTAGAGTTAATAATTTAACAATATTTAATATTTAGTATATTATTTAATTATTAATTAATATTAATAATTATTTATTATTTTATTATATTATTAATTCAATTTAATAACTAGGTATGTTTCATAACCTTTTAACTAAGTAACAATAGGTCTTTGTGAAAAAGCATTGCTAAATTTCTTTGAAATAATAATTAAAACTCAAATGTCATTATGGTCATTCAAAATTCTTGGCATAGCTGCTAACGTCACGCATATTCTATTTATTTTTACTTGTAGATTGTCTTATTCCCATCTCGCTCGCGCACGCTCGGCGCCCATACTGATGATTTTGTGTCACAGTGCGCGCGCATCGTAAAATTTCACTCTCATAAATTTTTCATAACGCGCCTAAAGAAGTATAACTTCAAAAAGTGGCGATTACCTAAATTGTCGGATTGTACGCTCGATGGTGTTACGTACATTTTGGTCCTTCGAGCCTATTATATATTTTTTCATAATAATTTAAACTTAGCAAACTCAGGATCTAAGCAATTATTAACAATGTAGTATTGTATTTAATTTGGAAGATAATTATTACTTAATTATGTATGTATACGTACATTTGTACACATTTTCTTGAAACAAAACAAATGTCTTAACATTGAGGTCGCGTGTTCGAATTTCGACGACGCACTATTTTTTAAGTGCGACCCGACATTGTTGACGTCGGAAATAAAAAAAAAACATCTTATTGTTAATTTAAAACATTCTCGAATCAACACACAAAACACTTCATGAATTCAGTCATACGTTTCCGAGTTAAATTACAAATACATGTACAGGTGATTTATATATAAAGAAATACGATGTGGTAATTGGTATACAAAATGTCCCATAAGACCTAGGAAACTGAAGTCTTTAAACTTGGATTATAAATCACGTAATAAGTTTGTTAAAACTTCCAGAAAAAACCTCTACGTCTGGAGTCTAGAAACGACAAAATTGATAAAAGTCTTAGACGCGCATTTTGGGAGAATAGTTCAACTGGAACCATTGACTGTCGGTACTTGGAATAACGTGATTACATCGTCCATAGACAGGACGGTGAAGATATGGAACATAGATAATATATTTGAGCAGGTTCATAAGATCGACAGACAGGAATTGCCCATTGATTCTGTGAGGTGAGATTTTCACAATCGTGAGACATTTAGAACAATGTGAAGTTTCAACCTTAACTTGCCTACCAGCTTTAGCGTCGAATGTGTAATGTGACCTATCAATTGTTTTTTCAACTCTTTGGACAATGATAGACTGAAAATCTTTCAAAAGTAGAATACGGACTTCTTTTTAAAATAAAAATTTGTGAATTAATTTTTTTTTAACAAACATTACGAATTTTAATCAAGATTTTTCCTCGTGGTTTAAATTACATTAACGCTTGCTAATTTGTAATTTATCTCTGGTTTCTTGTGTTTTAAATTATCGAGAATTATTTAATATATAGATAAAATCTTTTGTATTTTCTAGCCTTGCCCGCGACAAGCAGTTAGCTGTAACAGTAACTCGTAGTTGCTGGGGTCTTTGGAACACGGGGTCTGGGAGGCTTTTAGCCCAACTTGCTGAAGCCCCTTTAGGCGCTATTGTGACCCATGCAGTGATAACCCCGAATGGAGAAACTGTAGTTACTGCTGAATCTGGGAACGTTGTTATATGGGATCTCTCTGATCAACAGGTATTTGTGTATCTTTTACAAATACATATGTATTTTCTGTTTTAAACAAGAAATTTTCTATATCCCTGTATTAATTATGATGTATTTTCAAACACACACAATTTTTCTTTTTTTTTGTCATATATATCGCGAACAATACGTTTTTTTATATGATTTTTCTTCATCATCATCATCCATGGCTATACATCCTTTGTGTGCCTTAGCCTCCTCAAGTACACTTCGCCAATCTAACCAGTGCTTCCCGTGTCCAACATCGAACCCCGATTATAAGAAGTTTGTAAAAAAAAATATTTTTTAACCATTCACAATGTTTGTATACCTAAATAAATATATTTAAGGTTTTTTATTTAATTCATAATTCTCGATTGCAGGTAGTATTCAAAGAAGAACAGAAGGTTGTGAAGCAGCTGTTGCTTCTAGAAGATGGCACCAAGTTAGTAACCATTTCAATGCGGATTCCAGCGGATAACGTCGACAATGTTGCTTCTGCGCTTATTGTAGCGAGAACTATACCTGGTAAGAGTTCTGTATAACTTATACAAAACCATTAGGCTTGGTGTATAAACTCCTCGAGGTAGATGAAAAAGAACATGTGGAGCTACAACCTCAAGGCCTGGGCTTCATTCTGTGTCTTCATCATTTTGTTTTTCCTACACAAGTAGGTGATTAGTCTGTGACTCAAACACATGGTTCTTAGGCATGTCGGTTTCTGTAAATATGCACATACAAAGTCCGTACTTATAATATTCTGAATTATTTTATTTAGATGGAGAAAAGATCTATTCAGTCGATTATGAATTACGCGGGACAGGGTATAAGGCAGCTGTGGTATCAGTGGATGAACATCACATAGTTGCACCGGGATTGGATAAGACTTTAAGGGAATGTCTCCATGTATTTCACGCCAGGACTGGAGCCAGGCTTCATAGGTATCGATTAGGGTCCTTGTTTTCTAGACTGTAAATGTTCTTTCAGGACCCGTTAAACTGACAAACAATCATCTGACAGTACTCAACATGAGATTGTGACTCGAAACATGGATGAGCCAACTCTGGCCTTTAAAGAACTGTAATATGCAATACGACAATGTTAATTTTTGATCCGGCTCGGAGGACCAAACTATATTTTTTTTGTAAACGTTCATGTTTAAATAGCCTTTAAAAAAATACATTCATATGTTAATTAAAATTATTTTTTTAGAATTCCTATAAAAAACAGTGGAATCAAAGACATGCAATCGGTTGTGGCATTACCACATAAACCACACTGGGTGGGAGTGGTTGGCAATGACAAAGCAGGAATTCTGGATATTAAGACTAAGAGACATGTCAGGTGTGTTTGTCCATAATGTTTGAAATGATGTTAATCCTTTATTAAATCAACTTCGTGATTATTTTTTTAATTGCTATAGGTACTTGTGAACTTAATTCTTGAAGTTTTATATAGGAATAATAATAAAGCCTTATTTATTCCTTGAAACATTCATCTATATTTATAAAAGAATCACACTTAAAAATTTATACAAAAATAACTTAAAAAACATCAAGGACCTCGCATAGACCTCCTCCAACTGGCTTCATCTCTCTCTCTCACTCTATCTTGATAATTTGTATCCCAATCTTCCCCAACAACTTATTTATGCTCGTCAGCCCGCCTGTCTTATTTTCTCTGTTTGTACATATGTACATGCCAGCCCGCACATTTGCACTTAAATTTTTTGCAATGGGATAGTGCATCAATATTTTTTTGTTTTATCTTGTTATTAAGTTATAAATTTTAAGAAGTTTTATACATTGCTTGCATCATATAAAATTATTATTTAATTTAATAAGAATTGGGTAGAACTTATTTATTGCGATGTGATAATTTTATTATATTTTTGTAGAGCAAAAATCCACCGATCGATAATTTTTTTATCCATGTTTTCTCCATATTCATAACAATTTAATCAGTCCCAATGTGGCACTGTATTAATAAAAGATTGATAATTTTATAATAGCTTAAACACACATTTATATTCAAGATTTGTTCCTCGTTGGAATGGCGCCTGCACAAAAGACGGAAAGACAGGTCTTTGTGCACCTTCCCGGGGGGGTTTAGACCTTATTGAGTTGAAACGTGGAACCTCAACCCAGCAGCTGATCTCCAGAGCAGCCGAAGGCGTCTTCTCCATCATCACAATGTTCAGCTCCACTGATGAATATGTGTTTTATTATCATAGTGGAAGAAAGACGTTACGTGTCTTCAGGTATGTTTTACAAGACTTTTATTTATATTAAAGTTGATTTTGTATTTTTTATATTTTTATTAACTAATTAAAATGCTGGTTAGCCACTCGGTCACATATCTGCCTGATTGCGTGCCTGTAGGGGTCCCTGTTTAAAAAAACTAATTAAAACGCGTAATTTTCACAATTTTATTTTTCTCAGCTTCAACAAGTTTGAATCTGATGAAATATAACTTTAAGCAAGATATTATTATTATTTTATTATGTATATAAACACACTAGCAGCTTAATAAGCTGATGCGCGTGTATTTTGAGATTTGGAGAAACTGTCTAATCTATTTTTTAATTGGATAAGACTAAGATAAGGCAATGATTTTCTTCTGAACTCGGTTCAACTTCTCATAACTACAATAGTCTATTGACTCTCAATGAGAACTCTTTTGCGTTCCCTATTAACACGATCAAGAGTCAAAATGGCGCCACAAGCCACTTGAGGCATTTGCTCTGTTCTGATTGTTTGTAACTATATTCGTTTATTAATTACGTTTCTATATTAAGTAATGATTCCAAACTATAAAACAATTAAATAATTACAAAACAAATCAAATTAAATCATGACTCTTAAAAGTTGTAGAAAATCACAAAGCAACAAAAAAATCAACTGTCAATTGACTCGATCATAACATTTCCCGATAATTCTAGCATTCCCTGACAGATATAAATACATATTTTATTAACATAGGACACTAGACGGTCGAGCTATAGCCGAATATCGTGCGCCCGCTGAAGTTACTGGAATCGCAAGCGCACACGCAGGAAAAGCTGTCGCCATAGCGTCACAAGATGGCTGCCTCACCGTTCTTAATATCGTTGATCCACACAAGTAGATAAGCAATTATGCCGCGCCAATGAAGGAACCAGCTGCCCACTGAAGTATTTCCGAACCAATTCGACTGTGGGTCCTTCAAGAAAAGAACGTACGTACCAATTTATAAAAGGCCGGAACGCACTTGCGAGCCTTCTGGCGGTGGCAGTATCACTTAACATCAGATGGGCCTCCAACCCGTTTGCCTCCTCGTACAAAAAAAACATTCTAATTGGTATATCAAGACACAATCTCATGTGTCAAATATGTCAAACCACTTATACAAAAAATGGTTTGACAGCTTTTTAAATCTAGATTTAACTTTTATGGTTAACGTTCTAACGGGTTTTGGTATACGCACTCTCAGCAATCAAACATCATAGATTTGTTAAGTTATAATGTAAGATTGAGAGGAAAACTCTTAGAAGTGTTAAGTAAAACGATTTGATCCTTCACACAATAAATATCACATTATTTTGAAGATTTAAAAGTCATTTTATACTGTTTATTATGACATCCAAAATTAAAATTTAATCGCACAGTGCTTTTATGAATCTTAACCAAAACCTTAACCGGACCATCTCTTTAAGTTATCATTTAAAAATGGCTATAATACACTTAACAAAAGAAGTTTCACCCGGGAAAGCCCCCGTCTCATTTTAATTCGGTCCAGCTGCAAATATGCAAATAATTATAATTTTTTTATAGAAAATATCATATCTTTTGTCCCTCTCTAAGTAGTTTTAGTAGTTCCAGCGAACATATTTTAAAGTTATAACTTAAGGTAGAATAGTTTAAGACTAACAGAACGTAAAGTACAAGCAAATGACTGTGATAAAAAGGACTGTTTTGGATTTATATGTTAAGAAATGGATATATTTAAGTTATTGTAACACGTTCATAGATTCGTTTCAAAATAAAAAGTTATTAGAGATTACTATGCGTTTTATTTTTGTACTCGGTTTTACCCGAGTTACTATTACATATTTATAAAGCTGTCAATCTAAAATCCTAAAAAAATATGTTGGGGGTACACACAAAAAGCTTCAAAAATGTAAAGTTCTCTTTATGTACCTTAATAAATAATTAACAGTCGTACATACAAATAGTACTTTTTGACAATATCTTAAACTTAGCAATACTGATCCCACTAAATCGTGAAGTTCATAAAAAATGTGGGTAGTTAAATACATTTGCGTATTGAGCTCAAAAATATTTAAAAGTAACTAAAAAATATGACTTCACAGAGACAACACATTATTAAAAAATTAAAACAATATTTTTTATTAAGTAAGATTATCTGTTATCCAGGTAATGGAATTGGATAAACGTAAATCTAATTTCTGACACCACTGTATTAAACTCATTAGAAAGGTCATAAACATTTTGTTCCTTTACTCAAACCAATATCGAATTCCGAAGACTATTGGAGTGACAAATTTCTAGAACAACACTTTAAAAATCAAAGAAAATATATTCCCATAAATGGCGTCCGCGAATATTGAGTTAGATAAATCCTCAAAAGCCTTATAAAAAATCGAAAACTGTTTTTGAACTGTGACTCTCGTTAAATTTGATATTTAAAACTCGTGTTCCGATACATAAATATAAAGCTTGGCTACAGCGATCCCACCAAACTGCCCTTTACTGTAGAGCTCCATAGACAACTCAAGCTCAATACTTTGTGGCCCTTCCAGGGAACGAACCAATGACATCACCGCCTGATTTCCGGTTTGGGATAATCTATAATAAAGAAAACAATATTAATGTAAAGGATATTTTTTATTATGTTATTTTCTGATGACGGAAACGTTTTAGGTAAACCTTCCTTGGGTGCTAGACAAAATCGCTACCGTTGGAAGTGGATTGCGTGACAAAGCGTTAAGGTGCGCTTACACGGGCAACTAAAATTGCTCAATTCCAGTCAATACTCGTCAATTATGACGTCACGACTACATCAAGCAATTTACGGCAACGGCAACAAGCATCAATACTGCGCAATACAATATTGAGCGATATGGCGCAACTTCATCAACTAGGCAATACTTGTCATACACGAGCATTTCAGTTTTCGCTCGCTATGGACGACATTGTTCTTGCTGCGGCGGCTTGTAGTGCTTTTCTTATTATTAATCAAAAACAAAAAAGAAAGAAAAGGAATAGGCGCATCTGGGTGCGATCGTTTTTGGCAAAGAGGACAAAATTTTCATTATGTAAAAAATTAGATGATATATTATTCAAAAACTAGACTAGAATGTCACGAACAGACTTTGAATTACTTTTGAATAAAGTTAGCCCATTAATTAAGAAACAGACGACCAACATGAGAGAACCAATTTCTGCATCAACAAAACTTGCTTTAACCCTTCGATTTCTGGCAACTGGAGATTCATACAAAAGTTTAATGTATCTGTTTAGAATTTCTGATAGTTGTATTGCACTATTTGTACCTACTGTATGCAGAGCTTTTTATTTATTTAAATTCACAATTAAGTAGATTTTTAATTCAGATAAATCAATCAGTAGTAATGTACTCCACGGCAGTAGTATTTCAAAATGCAGTCAAAAAAAAAAAAAACAAAAATATAATGTTACGAGGAAACAGTTCAATTTCATTTCCAATGTTTACGCTGAATGCTAGTTAATTAGCGCACTGTAATTATTACGGACATTTCCTCGGCTTTGCAAAATTCCAAATGAATCAATTAAAAAATACGACATAAAATAATCAAGCTGTTGGCTATGTTTGACTAGGCGGTAAAAAAAAAAGAACACCGTTGTGTGAACCAAAACAGAATGAAGTTGTAATTTATAAATAATTATAAAATATATTATTTAATTATTTATAAATTACAACTTAACTTAACTTTTATTTTAATTTATTATTTTTAATTTATTTATAACACAACAAACAGAGGCTGACTACGCGCTGGACTCTTGCCGCACGCTATCCTACTTCCACCCGACCTCTCGCTCTCCCCGCAAGCAAGACGGCAAGCCGCAAAACAAACAAGTGCGAATGAGATATATACAAAAATTGCTAGGAATTTCCAAGTCCATTGGATATTTGTCAATTCGTATCTGCGACATTGAGCGATATGAAATATCTGGAGCAATTAGAAGCAATATCGCCGAAATAATTTATTGAAATTTATTGAATTTCTTGAAATTGCTCCATTAATTGCTCCAGATCGGTCCATTCGTGTTGCCGAGCAATTATTGCCCTCGTGTAAGCGCACCTTTAGCTAATGTTCATTCGCATACAAAAGCCTTTGGTGGTAGTGCGGTACGCCTCATTAAACGCTAAAATAGTTTTGGCCTTCGAATTTTTCTGTTGCATAAGTGAGTGTATCGGACATTCTTACTGAGAATAAAAAACTCAGTTTTGAATTGTGCAGCCAGCAATGACTAATTTTAAGCCTTAACTTTAAGCTATCGCGGAATCTGCTTTAAGAGTATTAAGAATATCCATAGCGCTAAATCACCTGCATCATGAGCACACCCCACATACACACCCTCACGGACATACACTCACTTTCACACCATCATACAACACAGCCGAATTAGGTATTACTTAGTAAAATGTATTTAATAATTGTTTAAAATTTTTTTCCTATTTAAACATTTGAACCTTTTTGTCAATAGTATTTTAACTTTATCGTTATTAGAATTGTTTTTGTTATATATAACTTATGTTGGGAAGGATTAGGAAATAAATAAACTTAACATCTACACCAAAACTGTACATTACAGCCAAGTTAATCCCTCGCTCTATTTAGAGACACCGATAAATTTGTCCGCTATCTGTGGCGAGTATTATTGAAAAAAATTTCACTTACAAGAATGAGTTTATATCCGCCTTTTGACTAACAGATGGCGGTGCGTTGACATCCACAAGACGCAGTTGGAACCGCATTTTAGCGTAAGCCCAGTTCGGACCACGCATTGTAAATAAGTCCACCTGTAAAAATTAAAGAAAAACATGTTTACAATGTCAAATAATAGTTTTGAGTCTAGCGTTATGAGACAGGCATGGTTCCACGTTTCATTGTTATACTCCTAGCCGATCGGCCGTCTACTAGCCGATATAGTGTTTAGGAAGTTACCTCACAGAATAACCACTAAGGTATATAAAATAAAAGTACCTGTGTTTCGGGTATGTAGAGTTTGGAGACAAACGTAATGAAGTTGTATGAGTATGTGCTTGGTTGATGCGCGCACTCCCAGTCCGACGGAGGGCAGTAGGTTTGAATCTTGGTGCAGCGACTGAAAATAAAAAAATAAAACTTATAAGAACAATTTAGGGAACCCACAGGAAGGAAAGCTCAAACTGTATTCCATAAGAACAGAAGTTAAACATGTAAAATATATAAAATACAATAATATTGTATTTGATAAAATGCGTCTAAATAATCTATAGGAGGTCCTTGGAAAAAAAATACAATTATTTCTGGATAAAATTTTAAGTGTGTTTTTAATTAAAGATGGATAAATGTTTCAAGGAATAAATGAGGCTTAATTATTCTTATTATATTTAAAAGAATTTTACCATTAAGACAATTTTATATTGTTTACTCTGCAGAAGTGAAGCCATTGTAATTTCTATTTAGGGAGTATTCAAGTAGTATGTAAGTATGTAACGAATTGTTGGGTTTGTTAGATTTTTCCTGTTGTAACACGTCACAATGCGGGGCGGGGATTGAATTACGCGTTATTGTTAATATTATGCTCGAATTTGCGGTACTTTACACCACATAATTGTATCTTTTAGGTATAAAGAGTCAGTGGGTAAAAGTATTACGTGAGCACTATAGAAAGAGGGGGTCTTTGATTTTCTTATTTGGTAATTACGTCAACAGTAATTATTTACTTTTTAACACATATAACCCACAAATTGTCTATGCTTAAAAACAAAATGCATTTTCGAGGATTCCTACAAAAAAATAATACGTTTATGTACTATTATTTTTGAGAGCTTTGCTTTGACAAGAGTAGAGGGGGCGAGGGGAAAATTGCAGTAAA